GTCCTATAGATTTTGGCAGCCTATTCTTAAACATGTCTATGTACCGAAAAGATTAGAAATGGTTTACTGTCGTACACACAAGAAATATGTGGAGTCCTGTAGCTCAGTGGTTGGAGCACTCACCTTGCAAGCGAGACACCTGGGTTCAGTTCCAGGCCGGGTGAGACCTTGGGCAAGTTTCCTTACTTCACACAGAGCCTAATAATAATCCCTCCAAAACAAAACAATAATAAATTGGTCTCTTTCAATCCACGACTGTTTGTGGGACGCTGCTGTGCGCAATTGGCTGCCGCGTTCGCCCACAAATATACAGTCAATTCACTTTACAGTCTATTCTGTGAAACGCTTTGAGACGTCGAGAAGAGCTGAAAAGCGCTTTATCAAATGCAAGGAATATTATACTATGTGTAGGAGGATGTGGGCCAGCTATTTTAGCATCAATAGAATTATTTCAAAGGGAAATAGAAAGATATCTTAAAAAAACGAACAATTTGCAGAGACATGGGGAAAGGGCACTTCAATGAGCATTGCTGTTTCAAAGATCCAACACGCAGGATTCGCCAAATAGATGCCTTTTGTGCTGTACATTTCTGTGGCTTAGTGAAATATGTCCAGTGTTTAAAATACTGGAGTTGAGGTACAGATTAGCCATGATTTTAACAAGCTCGAGGGGTTGAATGGCCTCCTCCTGTTCCTATGTTCCTCATAATGCTTTCAGAGGTGCTGAGAGTGCAGGTTTCTCAGTCGGTGGCAACACAGAATGAACAGGTTCTGGTTTGCTTGTGGAGCCACCTATACAATTAATCACATTAGCTGCTGTGTTTGGAACCCATATCTGTGCTAAATCTGTCAGAGCTAAACAAAGGTAAATTACATGGTAGAGCTTTACACTGCTTTGATTTCTTGGCCAAATCCCCAAAATTGCTGCATTTCACAACATGTATTTGTTGGGATTAGTTGCCTCTCTGTAAATGCTGGAGCCAGACAGGTTGATTGTACAGACCTAATGGTCAATTGTGTCAGCTGAGCCTCAGTCACTTCTGTACGTGGGTGTGTGTGTGTATATATACGTACGTACGACTTCAGTCAAAGGATTGCAGCTCTGGGGACAATACTAATGGAATAAGAGCTGGAGCAATAAAAGGGAATTTACTTATTGTGATTATCCAGGTTTGAGGGTTATAATTCACTTATGTTATTCAGGTCACCGATTTACAGACTTTTCAGCAGACAATGTACTATCTCTGTCTGGCCTGGTTCTTCCTCTTGGATCAATTCATGGTCAAATCAAACTCAAGCGATGAAGTGGTCATTTGGAATTACAAGGACAAGTAGTTGGTCTGAATGGGGGAAATGCTCAGTCTTTACAAGAAGATGTGACTTGATCTGACAACTTGTTTCTCAGCCCATGCGAGAGGCCGTCTGCTGCAGAGAAATGTCAAGGCTTTGACAATCTGGTGGTTGCTTCAGAGAAAATTACATTATTTCAGCTCAGCAAATATTTAATAGAGAGAGATAGGGTGGTAACTTCAAACATAGCAGGCAAGTTTACCCATAAAATGAAATACAGCTAATAAAATCTACATACTGCTTTATCTCAACCGTTAACTACCCTTTCATTCTTCCTTACCACTTTATGTAGAAAGAATTTACATTTTTATCACACTTTATCATGTTGAAACATCTCAAAAGCACTTTACAAATGATTGCAAGCCAAGTGTAGTGACTTTTTTTTATATAGGCAGTGTAAGATGTGGGCATCCAGCAGGCAGGGAAGCTCAGTAATAATAGCCACTTAATGCACTTGAGTTAAAATCGAAATTTAACCGGGCTCTTCTCCAGAGCCAGGAACATTCCAAATCCAGGAATGTTGTGTTGTAATTTATTCTGTAGTGAAGAATGCAAGTTTGCCTAAACACAAAATGAGCAATAAAGAAAGCGCACACCCAACTATTACAATTACTTTGATTCTGTTTGTAATTTTCCAATTGTATTTCCTACACACATCCGTGTCAAGCATCGAGCAGGTTCAACTCGGGTTAAAGCCACACATGGACAGAGTAAACAAATCTTCTGTGCAAATTCCAACAATGTGCTCTACCCCTAATCTCAGTATAATAATAATCTCACCCGGATGCTTCTGGATGGAAGATTGCATCACAGTGACATTTCTATTTCAAAGAGCAGATAGTTTGGAGTGAAGGTTGTTTGATCAGGACTAATTTCCCCAGAATTATGAACTATTTTCTGCTGTGGACTTTACCAACAGGAAGTGGGTGATGGGGAGAGAAGACTTACATTCTTTGTTGGATTTGGTGCTTCAAAAGGCAAGTTCTAATGCACCATCACCCGTTCCAAGCCCTTATGGGTGTACATAAAGTCCATGCGATTCCCATTTAGTGCGATATTAACAGAACAAACATTTTGTTTTAATAAAACTTGGCACAGGTTAACCTGTCTTAAAGAACTCAGAGTTTGCATTCAGAACAACTATTAGATGGGAGTAATTCATAAAGAATTGAGTTATTCTAGGTATGTGAGATGTTTATAATGGAACATCTTAGTACTTCAGACACTGGAAGAATGAAGGATTGTGCAGTTTCTACAATCCTGGTTCACTGTTTATCATAATCATCCATGATCTTCAGTGTAAAATGCCAGACATTCATTCAGGATGATCCTAAAGATATCTTAGTTTTATTGGAACTTTTTGATACTTTTGTATATTATCTCTTTGTTTCTCCCTCTTTCTGCCATTCCAAACAGAGTGACGTATAATAGGTTTCCACCAGCAATGCCATGTCTTGTGCAGATGGCCATTCAGTAAGCTGTTTGCTCGATGAGGAGGAAAGGTGATTTCTGTCCTCACTCAATCCTTCGCACCTGATGCTCACACCTGATCATCATTACTGCTCAGAAGTAATGCGTGGTTAATCACCATGAAATTCTACAGTCAAAGTGATTGATGTTTTGTCGATGGGTTTGATTTAAGCAAGTAGGTATACTGTGAAAGGTAGCCAACTTTGCTAACATATGATGCACGAATGTGGCTCAGTTTAATGTTTACCATTATATAATCTAGCCAATGACTAAACAAAGATGGGAGTGTGGGGGGAAGGGCGGTCAGTGTTGAATTATTTTTTTGTCTGGAATTTAAGACACAAAATATTTCTTTGTGATGTGTTTTGCTCACCTGACACACATGAAATGATGAAATTATGACAGAAGCCTCTAAACAGGGAGAACTTGTACATTGATCTGAACAAAGAATTCAGAGATTTGATAAGCTGCAACTTGCTTTACATTCCACACGGCATCAGCTTCTCCGACACAACCTGAAACACCTGTTTTACACAAAACTCTGCCTACAAATACAGTCACTATATCTGCAGTAAATCCTGCGAAGGACTTTGAGACATCACGGCACTAAGGTGCTGTATATTAATAATAATAAAACTTGCATTTGAAATAGCATCTTATCACGTCGTCAAGATGTCTCAAAGCGCTTCACAAGCTATACGTAAAGTGAATTGACTGTATTTTGTGGGAGAAATGCAGCAGCCAGTTTGTAATGTAAGTGATATATAGAGCGTGGGTGATGCCAATATTAAAACTGAGAGTTGTAAAATGTCCTGACCGGCTGTGTGACTGGGTACCACACTGCATGGTTGGCAGGCAGCCACATGACTTTCAGTTGACTGGCACAGAGCGTTAGACAAGGTGCTTTTCCACAGAAGAATTATTGAGGATCTGGAAGAGGATTTGATCAGAATACAAATGAAACTGCATTGACGTCAGCAGGTCACAGTCTGATCTAGAGGAGACGCTGATTGCAGACGAGGGTTTGGGAGGCGTTGAAGGTTCTGAAGGGAGAGTTACACAAGAGAAGGTGACGAGATTGACCAGGTGTTTTTGCTGAGGTTTAAGGAAGAGCAGAACGCTGGTTGACTAGAAGCCTTATGGTGTCTTCGAAAGCCCTATAGTGAGGGTTCCCATGTCTGAGAGCATTGCAAGACACTTTACTCCTTCGCTGCAGTATAAGATGGAAAGAGAAATGCTGTTTATCAACCTTGTGGTTCTAACACTGAGACAAATGGCTCCTGGAGATCAGAAGAGATGCACACTGCTTCTGTGCCTGAAAATCCTATCGCGGTAACTGCATTCTGCTGTGCAGTTACTGCATTCTGCCGACCTCTGCCTGATTGTTTGTGCTGCAGCAATCAGCTAGACTGTCTTCAGCCAGACCGCTCACTCGCTCGCTCGTACTGAATCCGCAGAGACACAAGGCTTTACAGGCAGGGCTGAGGAGGAGAAACTGGATTTCCTTTGTGTGTCTATCAGATACAGAGATGTTTGATCTGAGGCACTTCTTTATGGAGGTTTTTGCTAATAATTTCCTGGGATTTTATCTTTTGGAGACCTTTCTTCTACAGCTTGGGGAATGGAGATTAAAAGATACAAGGTACATGTCTTTTCAAAAACAGGGACAATTGATCTTTCCATCGTCTTAATTGCCCGGCAGCCTAATTCACATCAACACTGAATGTGCTGAACATTAATTTTGGGTGTTACATGAAATAGATAAGCAATAAAAGCTGCAACCTGAGTATTATTAGAATCTCCTGCTTGTATTTTATTTATTGAAGGAAGGCACCTTGAGGGACATTGTTATTGTGCAAATGTGAAGGTAGAATGAGGATGTGTGAGGACAAGACAGTCTATTACAGCCGGTCAGGAGGCATGATAAACATCTCTGTGGTTTCTGCAGTCCTGAGCCTGACCTCTGGGCTTAACGTGGGTATTCAGGATATATCTGCGATTCGTTCTTTGACACCATATGTAGCTCAGAAATACCCTCAGTTATTAGTCCTCGGAAATTGGCTTCCTCACTAATCATTAGGAGGAACAGATGCTGGTGTAGTGTCTCCACAGTCTGGGGCAAGGCAGGTGAGTTGGGAGTTGATATCCATGTTTTGACCACGTTTTCTTCTCTTCTCCAGGAGCCCAGTAACAAGCGGGTGAAGCCTCTGTCCAGAGTCACATCGTTAGCAAATCTCATTCCACCTGTGAAGGCTACACCTCTGAAACGCTTCAGCCAGTCATTGCAGGTAAGAACCCCTGTGTGTGTGTGTGGTGTTTGTGGGTAGTGCGTGTGTATCTTACATGTGGACAATGAGGGGTGTATTGTAAATTCCCGCATAGTCTTGGTACTTGCCATTCACGCTGTTGTAAACCCAGTGAGAGATTGCTTACACCACAGCACTTACACTCCAAGCCAACTTGTTACAATATTGTTCAGGTAATGTCCATATAAAGTACAGCATCCATATTATTCTGCTGGGCAGGTGAGTACACAGATGAATTGGGCAACTTCAAGACATCTCCGTGAAAAGAACAATAAGGGATATTGATGTCAGAGGAGCACAATTACTGGGAAGTTCAAGTTGACATCCTGATCTGAAGACTTGTGAATATACGTTGGTGTTTATTTCTCTCGAGAAGCACGAAAGGCTCTGTTGTCTGAATGCAGGTTACAAGACAATGCAAGGACTTGACTTTGCTCCTCATTGAGAATTCAGAGACGCTACCTTCTGCAGTCATATAGTCTGGGATCAGTCAGGCAAAGAAAGCTCATTGGGAAAAGACTTGAATACTTGTTTGTTTAACAAAGGGGAGAAATTGCATAACAAATGCTCATAATGTCACTGTGAAATAAAGAAAACTGGTTCAAGTTGAGGTACAAAGATGTTCCTTCAGTATTTCTAGATACTCACTAACAATCCCCATTCATAATAATAGCGCTAATTGTTGTTTAAATGTCAAGCTTAGGCTGGGCTGTGGTTTGACATTTTAGGCAGCAGTCCTGCCTATCTGACTTATGTCATTCCATTTCTTATACAGTTTGGGGGATTTAAACTGGACTTTTAAACCTATTTTTTTTAAAAAGAATATTTTGGTAAAATTACTTTTTTTCTCTAATCTAATCTTGAGTGTAAATTTGTTTTTATTGGGACAGTTTGATATTATCAGGAGAAGTTGTAGATTATCCACTGTATAACAGTTATTGGAAAAACTAGTTTCTTTGAGCTAGAATATTATTTACACATCACATTGGGGTCCCTGTCGGAGATCGATCTGACATGTGCTTGAGAGCAGCCACTAATTGCCATGACACAGCGATGGTGGGATATCAAATGAGTGCCGTGTAAGTGATGATTATACAGCACATCAGGGGAAGTCATGTACTGTTTCTGGGTGAGTCTGGGTCACAGGATGCCCATTTTCATGCTCCATTAGAAGCATGGTTCCATTTTCAGTTCACAGTATCCATGTTGCTCAAATGATCCTCAACCAACTGCGGACACACTGGTATTTTAGGGTTCTCTCATGGGGAGGCTGATGGTCAGTGTTGAGCTATTTCATCTCAACTGATCTGTGGGGTGGTGAGAGAGAGAGAGAGAGAGAGAGATTGGGATAAGACAGCAGCCAGGCTCCATGCTCAATGGTTTATGGAGGAGAAAGGTCAGAAGAACTTTCTGCTCCTCATCTCTGTCTACAATACTTGTTGAAGTGGGTGGACATCATGGAATCTCGAATAACCTGCTGCCACTCGCTCACTGGCCTCAACACATGAAGAACGGCTTCTTACCTGAGGTGTTGGCTTGTATGGAGCCAGATCTCAGTCTGACTGACCCTGTGCCTCCCTGAGAGATGAGCAAGAAATGGGAGATAAAAGTTAGTGGAACTGGGAATATGGGAGTATTGTTGTCATTGAATAGGGTATTGTTTTACTGCCCCGTTACAATGACATGCGGATTGGAGCACCCATGTTAATCCATTGGTAACTGTTACAAGGAGAACAAGTGGTGTTTGTTGAGTTATGTGGGATTGTGCCCATAGGTAGAAAGGAGAATAAGGAGAGTGTTGTGTTTGCTGTATAAGTAACAGGCCCTTGCGGGAGGGGGGAGGGGAGGGAGGTAGCTGACTAATTTAACTTCAGTCACTGTTTGATGCAGAAGGTAGGGAATAGCGTGACTGGGCTCAGATTCTTGCGTTCCCTGGGGCCAATAAATCTCCTGCTGGAATTTATGTGCGAAAAGTTTCTGCCGTTTCTGAAAGGGAAGGGACTGCATTAGTTCCAGTTGTGTTGAGCGTGAAAGCAAATTATGCTTTGGCTAGACTTCAAGCCCAGCCTGGCACCCTCTGTCTACCACCACAGGCATATTTGTACAGCTGTTGGGGAAGCTTTGTAGCTTGCAGCACTCGACTTGCAGCAACTTGAAAATCAAATTCATTTGCAAACATGAATCCTTTTCCATTCCCTTGAAGACTTCCTTCCTTTCACAGGCAGGTAAGAGGCGTTACACCAGACAGCGAGAGGTTTTGTTCAAATAAAACATACATTGCCAGCGCACTCTTGTTGCACATCCCTGTTTACTGTACGGAGAAAAAAAGGAATCCATATTGGGGACTGGATTTGTTCCTGCCAATAAAACACGGTGTCAATTCAGTCTTTATCACCAGAGGAAGCAGCTTGAGCAGCAGTCTGTTAGTTTTGAGAGCAAGTTGAAATCTGGCTGTTGCACTCTGCCTCACAGCTGTACTAACTGTGTGGGTTGCTGCGTGCTGCTAACACTGAGAAACGACTGCAAAGTGTGTATGTTAGAGATGTTTAAAATAAAGGTTAAATGTCAAACCTTTATGTTGGGCGCCTGTCAAATATAAACCTGGTGCCGGAATCTGAATTGTGATCAGTGTGCTCACTGGGGGGCAGTGCAATATTTTTTCTTTAAGGTAATTTCCCATTTTTCTATATAATATTTTTTGAAGAAACTGCCTTGTGAGCTTTTGAGATGTTAGGTAAAAAGTTTCATGAAGTAAATGTTGCCCACAAACACCCTATTTGTGTAGGTAAGTGGAGCAAGTTTGTATTGGCTGTAATCCCGACCCCTCACTCCAGTTGGCTATTAAGTGTTTAAGGTACAAATACACTGGGAGTCTCACAAGTGTTTTTGCTCAAAAAGGAATCTCGATTCATTAAATTCCTACCCCAGAGAGGATTCAATGCTCTACATGACATCAATCACAGCAGTCTTGTGATGTATTGAAAAATAATCTGGTTTTATGTCCTTTTGCATCTAGTAGATTAGGTCCTAATCAGAGTCTGTTCCAGTGTCTAAGGTTTGGGACTGTTTGGTACAGTGATTATGTATGACGCCAGCAGCCCGGTCATCACTGTAACACGGTGAAGTAGGGGCTGCCAACGGCAACAATTCTCACGGCATCACAATTCTCAAAACACAGTGGGTTCCTGAGCTCAAGGTATCAAATTAAAGTCTCCAGTGTGTGTGTGTGTTACATGCTGTGAAACCGTCTTACTGAATTATTCTACGCTTCCGTGAATATTTTCAGTGAAGTTCAGATGCAGTAAAAGTGAGACTTTCTAATTGTCTTTGGCATCGGGGTCAGACTATAACTCAGCTTTACGCTTAACACAGCCACTGCCGGTTAGTGGGGTTTCTATCCCCATTCTGGGGGTCAGCACAGCAAGGCACACAGTGAACCTGGAGCATCATCTCCACCTGGAGCCAGGCTGGGCCATGTGTCTTTTCTTCTCATGCACCATGAACCTTTATGGAGTTCAGTGAAGGCCAGCAGCTGGAAACAATGTCCTGACTCTTAACTTAGCAACAGCTGGGAATTGGCAGGCTCACACTTGTCTGATAGTGTTGGTGAAGCTACCATCCCAGTACTTTGGATTCCATCCCAATGGAGCAGGATCCACACAGCCTTCAGCCGCACACATCCATTTGAGACCTTTCTCAAGTTAACTTCGTACCTCGTTTCCAGTAAATCCACTTTCTGTTTCCAGCGTTCCATCAGCTTCCGCAATGACAGCCGACCTGACATTTTCACCCCAAGACCTTCTTCAAGACATGGACCATCTGTTTCAAAGCGTCGAGATAGCAAACTCTGGAGTGAAACGTTTGACATTCGTGTCAATCAGATGCTCACAGCCAAGGAAATCAAAAGGCAGGAGGTAAGGGCTGCAGACCAGACTTATTCCTTCTCAACAGAGGAGTCACTTAATCAATGACAACTTCACTTTGAAGTGATGCTCGTCCACATTACACTTATTACTGTTCTCCAGGAGAGAGTGAACTGTTAAAGATCTTTGATTACACAAAGGCAAACTGCATTTCACCCTGGTTCTTATCGCTTAGACCAACGAGCCTTTGTTTATTGCCAATGAGTATCTGATAACTTCTTGCTAGAGTATGGGGATAATTAATTAAAACAATTGCAATGAGTTGCTGTATGGTTAATGACCAACTAGATGTCACAAAGTTACAGGGAGCCAGAGCCAAGCTGTTCTGATGTACCGCTTCAAACCAGATTTCACACATTTCCCGTTACGCACATATCTGCTGTTTGGGATTGAATACCATCGCTGTGCAAACACAATCCTAAAATGTTTTGCTCCTGGAACAGCTGTTGTCAAAGTGTCCAGTGAAAACATTCCTAAGATGTACCTTAACAATTTTGTAAAAAGATCCTGTAAACAGGCCCTTTAGGTCTATCAGTGAGAGCAGATTACACAAATTATCATGTTCTCTTCTGCTTGTATATTCCTGATGTGAAAGGCGCTATACAAATGTAATCCTGTTGTTGTTCACGTCGGAAAGACGTTAGAAGATGAGAAGGTGCCACGTGTGTTTTTTACCGGTTCTGTCAAAACTAGAGAATGATTAACTCATTGGTTTCCCAAATGGAACTGGTCACAGGCCGAGGTTAACCTGTAAACCTTGCCTTGTCTGACATCTAACATTCATCTGCTCCCCAAGGCTTTTGTGATGAAGGATACGAGCAGTTCTTACCTCTTATAGTGCCACTGAATGGATTTTCCCATTATATACACTTAGCAGGAAGAGGAATTTGGTCCTAATCCACCCAAGGGGGAAGTGCAGTTATTGTGTTGGATATCGAGTACTGGGGTGTGGAAGATCATCAAATATCCTTTCCCCTTTGGCAGGAACCTCCTTAGTTTGATTATCTGATATGTTTCAATGTCTGGTATTTGGAAATGAGGTGGCTCTTAGCCTATGGCGTGTGCAAAATTGCTGGCAGGTTTTTTTTAAGACTTGTGTCCATTCCAAAGGGTCAAGATTAACCTCTTGTTCCTCACCACATACGTTCAATTTAGCAAATACAATGTTTTGGAACAAACGCAATGTATGACAGTTCCAATTCTGGAGTAATTTTCCTCTGGGAGATTAGACCAACAACTAAATTGCGTGAGCCAAAAAACATCTTAGTTTAATCGCTTTGCATGCAATAGCAATCCTTCTCTGTATTAAACTGTTCTGTAACCAAATCTTTCTCTTGCAGGCGATTTTTGAACTTTCCCAGGGAGAACAAGTTTTAATTGAAGACTTGAAACTAGCAAAAAAGGTAAGAGAATTGGAAGTTGCATTAAAAATGTCACATGAGGATTGTTTAATGCCTTTCGCACTGAGTTTCCAGTCCTTCAGTAATGCTAACATTAAACAGACACTTTTCAAAACATAATAATATCAGGCATTGAAAAACCAGACCCTTTATTTTTCCCCAATCAGTAATTCTTTTTAAAATCTCCCCTCAGTCCATGTTTGACGTATTCCTATTGAAAAATTGACCCAATGCTGCTTGAATACCTCACAAGTGGTCAAATACTCTACCCCATCCATTTATTTCCTTGAAGCTTGAGATTGAATGCTGTAATCATTGTGGCGTGTGGGTGATTAGCACGCAGTGCCGTGCTGTGTGAGAGCCTCAGGTGCAAGAAGCTCTTAATGTGCTTGCAGTAACTGTGAGATCATGGAATCATTGTTTACCACAAGCCGTTCAGATCTCTCTGGTGTGTGCAGACAGCTCTCAGGTCCCAGTCATGGCCTCTTGAGACTCTACAGCTTTATAACTTATGATTATCAAATTATTTCCACATGTGTGGAACCAGTAATGAAACCACTCAGACGTACACACTGAGACATAATTTGACACTGTTCTATTTTCCAAATTGGGAAATTAAACACACATTATCTGTCTCTCGTCCACAGGCTTATCATGACCCGATGCTCAAGCTCTCCATCATGACGGGACAAGAGTTGAATCAGATCTTTGGCACTTTGGATTCTCTCATTCCTCTGCACGAAGGTATGATATCAAATGCAAGGATTATTATTATTATGATGATTATAATTCTGTTATCAAGCGGTTGGTTGTGTGTGTGTGTGTGTGTGTGTGTGCGTGTTTTAGCAGCGAAGATAGACATCTGTGATGAGAACCGCAGATGTAAGAAAGGGTTTCGGATGACTCATAGAAATGGTGTCGCGTTTCTGTAAGTGTTTACCTGTTTCCTCTAGAGGACGCTGAGCTGATGTTTTCTAGTTATGTTTGTCAGATCTGCTGAGCAGGCTGCGAGACGCCCGAAACCCAGATGGGACAACGGAATACGTTGGCCACCTCCTTGTGGACTGGGTAAGCAAATGTTCCATTTAAAGTCGTTACCACATCTCTTTAAAATGTGCACAAGAATGAGACTTTAACCTGAGATCCCATCTGACTGTTCAGCTGGGCCTTAGTAATCCCATGGTGGCTGTTTGGAAAGAGAAGATAGTTTCTTTCTAACGGTGTCTTGGCCAGCAATTGCCCCCCCGCAGATAAAAATACGTCAGTCACTTCATGGCAGTCTGTCAGACGTCGCTGTGCACAAACTGGCTGCCAAGTTTGCCTACTAAATACAGTCACTACACTTTGCTGTGTATGCTGTGAAACGCCCTTTATCAAAAGCACGTATTATTATAGAATGTATAAAATCTAATTATAGCTTTGCATTAAGCATATTACAACTACATTTTTTGTCTATGCGTTGGTTCTGTCTTAAAGACCTGAGAGCTGTCTACACACATCAGAGAGATCTGAACTGCTGTCTTGAAAGATTCACTGCTGTTCCTTATAGTTTATTAGATGTATCCCCTACACTGTGGTGTTTCCTATACTTTATTACATGCAACCCACTTGCCCTATGTTGGGTAGTGAGTGGATGTGGGGTGACCAGCTGTGTCGTGTGTGTGTATGTGAGAACCATTTGTCAAAATGCACTTAATCAGATTTCAAATCTAATCTTCCTCCTGCCTGGATTTCAGGAGCTGTAATAGCAGGAAACCATTTAAACATAAAACATACTCTATATATTGGAATCCTAATGCCCATTACTGCTGCACAGCAAAGTGTTGATGCAACGTTTGGGGAGAAATGCATAAAGTGTGACCACTAATTTGCAAATATCTCTTGTTTATCTTTTAGCAAATGACTGATTTTTTTAAAAAAAATCTGCTTGCTAAACGTGGATGAAACGTTAGTTGAACCTTAACTCCAGCCATCCTGTGACCCTCTTTCTCAACATACACTCTGATACAATAGCAAATTAGTGAGTGCAAAATAGTCACAGGTTGAGGAATTTGCAAAAAAAACATTAATTAATTACCCGGTAATTGTAAACAACTATTAGCAATTATTTTTTTCCTAAAGTCTGATACAGAACTTTATTAAACAACAATAATCATTGAACTAGATCCATCCGTTGCTAAAGACAGAACTAAGAATACCTCAGACAAACTCAACGGTAATTATCTTACACCAGAAGCGAACATGCATTGCTAACCCGCTCCTGCTTGTTTACCTTACAACGTGACAAGTTATCGATGGTTGCTATTTTAAGTCCATGTATATTTATTCTGCTGGCATGTGGTTTGACTCGGAATCCAATCTGTTGGTCTAATCACAACTACAGAAATGTTCAAGGTAGTGACTTTGAATAGGATCAGTCGAATTTATTTTAAAATGGTGTAAAGATTTGTCAGCATAATGGGTTAGTATGTGAAAGAACTACAAAGATACTTACTAAACAAGTACCCCTTGATGTTCCTGCTGACCCTATCGGTTCAGATGACCTTGAGTGAATTAGTCCATCTCACAAGTCTCAGCTTCTCAAATGCTTCTTTGAAAGAAAATCAAACTGCTGATTCTCAAAGCCTTTCCTCAGTGGGAAAACACTCAAACAATTGGATTTTGTTGTGTGGCTGAATCTTATCACCTTTTTACTTGAATTAAAACTGAGAGTAAACTGGATTTAGGCAATGAGACAATCCATCAAGCAGGAAGATGGTCTTATTTCTTGACCACAAGTCTTGGCGACACGTTGGCGAGAGATTAGTGGTGCAAATCATCTGCACTTTATCTTTGTCTATTAATTGCTTATTTTCTCCTTTCAAATAAAAAGCTTGAGTGTTTCTAGAACTTTTGAACATGCAAGAGATTTGATTCATATCCTTGTGATCAACATTTTTTACCCCGTGGTGTTGCTTTGCCAGTAGTTGGGATTGCTAACTGGTTTTATCACTTTAACCAATTGCAATCATTGATCACAAACTTTGTCAAAAGGAGCAAAGGAAGAAACAGCACTTATGAATGTATAAAAGTCATAATGTTGATTTTTTTTTAAGGCAAATTTTGTAAAATTTGCCGCTATGTTGCATTGCCTCAATTTGTGGAGTCCTGTAGCTCAGTGGTTAGAGCACTCGCTTTGCAAGAGAGAGACCTGAGTTCAATTCCAGGCAGAGGGCGAAACCTTGGGCAAGTTTCCTTACTCCACATAGAGCCTAATAATAATCCCTCCAAAACCCAAAACAATAATAAATTGGTCATTTTCAATCTACGACTGTTTGTGGGACATTGCTGTGCGCAATTGGCTGCCGCGTTCGCCCACAAATATACAGTCAATTCACTTTACAGTGTGTTCTGTGAAGCGCTTTGGGGCGTCCTCCCGACGTGAAAAGCGCTATATCAAATGCAAGGATTATTATTATTATATCTGGAGTATTTCTGAAGAACATAAAACAGTGGAAAGGGCTGAGGCTAAAAATAAAATTTTTTGCCATATTAATCCCAAATCTGAGTGGAAAAAAATCATTTTTTGTTGATCTTCCACACAATATCCTATTTCCAATTTCTTGTATGAAAAATGTATGTATTAGGCAAAACACACATTTTGTAATGGAAATTCATATAACATGACATAAGGCCTAAATCATAAATGCTCCACAAAAAAATACCTAAGTACAATTATTTCATGAGAAATTGAGCATTTTTTNAAAAAATCTTCCAAAATGGATGTGTTAACCATCCAATATCATCCTTTCCTTCTTCTGTATTATATAACGCTAGTATACATTGTGCTCTCACATTGTGATTCTGGCTTTTCTAGGCCTTTCTGCTTTGCACGAGCTTTTGCTGTCAGCAGTCCTGCAGCATGGGAAAGTGCTCTGCTTGCACAGTCTCTCAGTACAATACTGATCCACACCTATTGTGGGCTGATGTTGCTGATGGCAGCAGATCTGCCTTTTGTTATGATTTGCTGCGTTCCCGTCAGCTTTCGCTTTACCCTAAACTTTAAGCCGAAGGACAGTCAGAAATCCAGGGTGATCTTGCAACTGCGGAGAATTTGGGAGATGAATGAAAACGGAACACTTAAGTTTATAGTTCGAGATTTACAGATTAGCTGCCGAGAAACATCATTTGTTTAATTAACCCAAGATCTCGGAAATGCACCCACCCACAGGCTTCCTGTAAGTCTGAATAAACCTCTTCGACCTGAAAGTACAAGGTCTGGTCCTTAGGAACTGAATCAATGGTTTAAACGTCCTGAGGCAATTCAGATAGAAGAGCAGTTGATAGATGAATGTTCACACATTCGGTTATTATTAAGAAGTGACCTGTTGAAGTGAAACACCTACCAAATTGCTCCTTTGATCCAAATTGTCATGGCTCAATTACTGCCGTGGAGTGATTTCCACATGTAGGTGGGAGGCATGGAAATCTCTTGGTTTGGAGACTCTTATGCATGGTGATTGCTTTCCGCATGCGTCAAATAACTGGCTGAACAAATAAATAAATAAATATTCAGTGACAACTGATTTAGAAATCCAGTCTAGCAGTGTATCTAGTGTATGTACACCTGTGTAAGTGTTTAAGTGTTTCGAGACGTCTCAAAGACATGATGAGTTGCTATATCAAATGTTGTTATTTTGTAGGTTTCCCTGGTTTGCATCTTAACTCCACTTGTTCCTCTTTGCCTCCTAGTTACCTTGCTTAAACTCCTATGACAGTTACTGTAGTAACCAGGTGGCAGCCAAGGCTCTGTTGGACCACAAGAAGCAGGACCATCGAGTTCACGACTTCCTGCAGCGCTGTCTTGAGTCGCCCTTCAGTCGCAAGCTGGATCTCTGGAATTTCCTGGATATCCCACGGAGTCGCTTAGTGAAGTATCCTCTGCTTTTAAGGGAGATCCTGAGACACAGCCCGAACGATCATCCTGACCAGCAGCACCTGGAGGAAGCGGTGAGTGTCGGGGAGGGGGAGAAATCCCACTGGAGTGTTGTTCCTGCCGCTCTGCCTTCCCCAAATTCCCGATGACAAAAACCTTTTCCCGCAAATCAACCTTTGTGGCTGTCGTTTACGGCTGCTCTGAATTCCGCTGTTCCGCAGCTGTTTATTTCTGCCTCGTTTCATGGGCTGATTCATCAGAAAATGCCGTTTCAAACAATGAAACCAGATCTCCTTATATGGGGTTTAAATTTACGAAACACCTGGCTCGTCAGATCACAATGATACGAGTATCCATTTTTCCCCCTTTATTGTTTAATACTAAGATGATGTGAACCAAAAAAAGGAATCAGTTACTGGCTATTTGTTTTGCAATGAGACCACTTGATGAAAACCATTAAGGTCTCAGAGTGCATTATTGGACACTGTGTGTGTGTTTTGTGCGTAGTGGGTGTGGTGTGTGTGTGTGTATATAATATATGTATATATATATACAACTATAGTTATACATAAATATAAACCCCATTAATCCAGCTTTGATGAAACTTCAAAAGTTGCTAGTGGATAAAATACTTCATGAATGACTCAATAGTCATTTGGCAAATGGTATTGAGTTTCCTGCTGACGGCAAACTAATCGTCATTGAACCCTCGATACCGAATGTTTAGTTGCACTTTCAGTCCAGTGTTCTTTGGTTCCTGGCCATGTCTGAGGGGGTTGATATGGTTTATCATCGTTACAAATAGTTTTGCTATGTAATTGTATATTGAAAGCCGTGGTACTTTTGCAAAGTTTTGTTGCCCCCCAACATAAAAGCCCTAAGGTACTACTTCTTGTCTGCAGGTGCACCAGTTGTTCATCAGTACAAAGGGTTTGAATTTAAATATCCTCTCCTCTCATGTGCCCAAGGAAGTTAGCGCCTGATTTCAAGGCAGGGCCAAGGCAGTGAGTTTGGTGAATCCTCTCTGACGTCTTTCTCCATTCTTTCTCCTCCTGTAGATCAACATTGTTCAGGGAATTGTAGCTGAAATCAACAAGAAGACGGGGGAGTCTGAATGCCAGTATTATAAGGAGAGGCTGTCGTTTCCTGAGGAGAGCCAGAGAGACCCTCTGATTAATAATTCCAAAGTGCTGTGCTGTCATGGCGACTTGAAGAACAACAGAGGAGTGGTAAGTCCTGCTGAGCCCCCCCCCCCCCCCCCAACACACCCCCATCCCCCCCCGCCAACACACCCCATCTACAACCCCCCATCTACAACCCCCCATCTACACCCCCCCAACACCACCCCCCAACACCACCCCCCACACCACCCCCAACACCGCCCCCCAACACCGCCCCCAACACCACCCCCCAACACCACCCCCAACGCACCCCCATCTACACCCCCCCCACACACCCCATCTACACCCCCATCTACACCCCCATCTACATCCCCCCAACACACCCCAATCTACACCACACCCCCATCTACACACCACCCACCCACAACACCCCCCCATCTAGACACACCCCCCAAACACCCCCCCAACTACACACCCCCCCCAAACCACACACATACGCACACTCCCCCCACATACACATCCCCACACCCCCTCCCCACACACACCCCACCCCTTCTCTGTTTTTCATTTATTGCCAGTTTATCTTTTATTGAAGAATAAAATCTTGGTCTGTGATCATAAAAAAAATGGCCATAAATAGAAAATCATTTTGATTTGATTTTAAAAAAATCACTGTCCATTTTGAAAAGGTGGAAATAAACTATTCTGTGGCCTCAAAGCAAATCGGGGTCAACATCAACAAGAATATTGCAGAAAATGCACCAATCTCACTGCCCTGTCTTTTGTTTCAATTTGGCAAATGCTGATTGTTGTTGAAAATCTTAACCAAATAATGCAAATGCTGTGAACTTTATTAAAACGTGAATGCATTTCCAATAATAGTAAACCTTGGACATTGCAAAATAGTTTTTTTTAAGTTTATCTTTAATTGTGTGTTGCTGAACAATATGAAGAGCAACTTGAATTAGCATCAGCCGAGGCATTAAGAAGAACTGAGATTACGGCCTTTGAAGGTGACATTAGTAACAGGAAGTTGGCTCCTGCATCGATGAGATCTGCTTTGTGACTTAAGAGCGAGAGATGTAAAGGTCACCGTCTCGCTGCTCTTTCAAGCTCTCACTTTTATGTTCTTGCTCTGGGTTGGGCCTTCATGTCTGATGCCTTTTCCTTCCCCACATCACAGAGATCAGTCATCAAACCATCCACGGCCTGACCTTTTGGGAATTGAGGTTCATGTGAAACAAAGCAGGAAGGAGATACTTTGATCCTCTTTTTTTTCAAATTTTCTTTTTTTTTACAATAGAAAAAGTATATATTTTTAAAATAAAGCACTCGAGTTTTCTAACAGAGTAGTAGACTGCAGTGGGGGACTTGCCAAGTAACGTCAGGATAAACTGGTTAAAACTTACTGTGTGTTTGCTGTTATAATAATCATGTCTTGTGGTAAAGCACAATCATTGTCATAACAGTGAGAGAGAGTCTAAACACCCGTCAAAGACCTTTGTATTTTAACAAAGAAGATTTTTGTAAAAAAATGACTATTATAGGATCACTGTGAACTTGTAATGTTGAGATTATTTATGATCGGGAACACACTATAGCCTCAGACCCTCTAAGGTGTTTGAGATCCATTCAGTGTTTTATCAAGGTCTATTTTATACAGTCTCCATTTGTGAGTCTACTATAAAAAAAAACTTCCTCAGAACCATAAAAATCTGTTCTGTTGTGCATCGAATGCAATAAACCTTTCTGTTGACAAGATTGAAGTGCTTTCATTCTCACTTTAGGTTTGTTTATTTTGGTTCTCTCTTTAGCAGTTCTCTAGATTTGACAGGATGGAATGAGTGGCCTATATACAACTGTGTGATTAGATATCAAGTGAGATCTATCACATATAGGGGAGTATTTGCAGGCTGTTTGCAAATGACAGTGTTTAATGTCCAAGGGAAATTTGGTCTCTTCTTTCACTGGTTTAAAATGGTTCCTTCTTGTTTTTCCCACTGTGGCTGAGAGCCAGATTGCTTCCACCTGATACTGCAGTCTAGTGGTTCCACTTCTGCTTAGACCGATCTAGAAATGGGGAAATTTCAGGACATTTAGTAAAATGATGGTTACAGTATTTGAGGGGTTAAATGCATTATGCTGATTCCCCCCTCTCTCTCTCTCCTCATTGCAGAAACTCCATGTCTTCCTCTTTCAAGAGGTGCTTGTGATTACCAGAGCTGTAACGTGTAACGATCAGCTGTGTTACCAGCTGTACAGACAGCCCATCCCTGTCAGGGACCTGGTGTTGGCTGACCTGCAAGATGGCGAGGTACGATTAGGAGGATCCATCAGAGGAGCCTTCAGCAACAACGAGAGGAGTGAGTAAAAATCTCTTCTCTTTTTCCGGGTGTGATTTAGATTATGTATGTGTTTAGATACATAAAATACAAGGATTATTATTATAATATCTGTAAATCAGAGACACTTGGGGGAGGGGAGGATTCTGCCAATTTGACCATTCTGATCTAAGACATCGATAGAATAAGAGAAATTACATTTAAAACTGAAGCAGGAGCTGACCTATTTAACCTGAGATGTTCATGTAATGGCTTGAAATTTGAAAATACACATTTCTGCTGTACATTTCTGCCTGTTATTCTAACCCAGTAAATGTTAGAACACAATCTAGATGCGTTTCTTCAACACAGAAAAGCTTTTGCGTTTTTTTTAAAAAAGAAACAAGTTTCAAATCCCTATTTTTTTTATTGTTGTTATTATTTTAGCAAAAAACTTCTTCCGAGTCAGTGCTCGAGATTCATTGGAAGGACAGACCCACTCACTTCAGGCAAACGATGCTTTCAACAAGCAGCAGTGGCTGAACTGTGTCAGACAAGCCAAGGACGCTGTGCACCGGGCATTAGGGGACAAGGGGCTGATTAACTGTGACAGGAACAACCGCCTGACTCCAAACGGCATCAGCTCGTCGTGCGAGCAACCAAAGCACGAGAGAATGGACCATTCGGACAACGAGTCAGATTGTAGCATGGACACCAGCGAGATCAGTGGGGACTATGAGCAGATGGAAGAGACGGACTATTGTGCAAATCAGAGAAGAATAGAAACGAATGTTTGACAGCATCAATGCAGTGGTTATAAATCCACGACATCTTACCTGTACAGTGTTGGCATTCCCTGAGGAGCATTTTGGAGAAGCACTTTTATTCCTTGTGATACTGTCCTTGGTCTCTTGATTGTGTAAACTTGACAAGTCCAGTCCTGCCACAGTACGTCATTGTAAGCTGGGATCTCTACTGTTTGTGTGTTTCTGTGTTCTCCAACATCTACTTGATGGATGGACGAGGTGTCTGTGTACGGAACTCCTGCGGGAGAGTTCTCTTGAATGCTGTTATGTTTCGGGCTAATCTTATATAGAACGGTGCACTTAGAGCCCCTAGTCCAGCTGCTCAGGTGATTAACACAGAACCTCAGGCAGCAGTTTACTGTATTTGAGCATAAACTGAACAAAACGGTGAAACTTGCCTCTAGAACTGAACTAAAAGGATTTCAGTTTTGTATGGACACCTTCCATAACTGACAAGGAAGGTATGAGTGGAATGTTTTGAGAATAAATGGTTAGGTGGAGTTCTTTTCAAGGGTAAACTTCGAGAAACTGCCTGATGTGGTATTTATTCACCCTATGCCAGCTGGGGAGGTTCGACCACCTGTGTATGATAGCACAGATGTGACTGCTGTTTTTTTTGCCAAATCATGGCTGTGTTTTGCCCAATTTGTTTGCAAGTCTACTGGGCGAGATATAATGCAGACTGTTTGTCTGTCATGTTGCTTTTTGTACATAATGTGCTACATGTACAATATACGAGGAATCTGAGCGACACGTTAAAAATCTGTAAGAAAACGAGGACAAGCCAAATCATATTCCTTTATTATTTTGAAGAAAAAAAGTAATGTTTAATTTTATCTAGTAGATTTGTTTTTCTGTATTTATAGTTTTTACACAAGTTGGGAAGTTTCCTTTGACCATTTGTGATTTATTTGAAATGCTTCAGGCTTTAAAACGAAACCCTACAGATATCAGTGACTCGCTGTTTATGGACTGGAAGCAAAATACAGCTGTTACTGAAGACGGGTTCTGAGCTTGTTGTTATATTGATGGAAAATGAAACCCCCTTGTGTTCATCTGAATATGATTGGAAGTTTTATGAGAGAATTAATAAGGATATTGAGTGTTGCCATTGGGGTGGGGGAAAGAGAATTGATGAGTCCTAACAAATGTGATCAAATATTTTTTTAAAATGTAAAGGCCTTAAACTTTCACGAAGCATTGAGAAATAAATTGTATAAATTAAACCGGAGGGTTTTCTGCCAGCTCATTTTACACCCACATATGTCACACTGAAGACGACTATTGTTTGAGGATTCAAAGACCAACATTATACACATCATTTGCAAGTCTACTGGCGACATATAATGCAGACTGTTTGTCTGTCATATTGCTTTTTGTACATAATGTGCTACATGTATAATATACGAGGAATCTGAATTTTGCAAGGAACAGACTCCCCAGGGAGACAGTGGGAGCAAAAAGTTGTTATTTTCAAGAACAAATTAGATCGATTTCTGCTAGAAAATAATATCTGGGGAGTTGGCGTATCGTTTGGGACACGACATGTCAAGCGACTGCCATGAGGGTGGAAGGCGAACGAGATGGATCTTGGTCTTCTTTTGCTTAACAAATTCTTCTTATACACAGAACCTGCTTTTGTCAAAACTCCTAATTATGAGCAAAAACAATTCCCGTTGTGTTTAATGCAGAAGCTTGAGAATTCTATTGCTTTTTCACATTATCTTTAGCATTATTACTGTTAATTGACAGTGAATAACCTGCTTATTACAAACTACTATTTTACTTATGAAATGTTCAGGGTAAAATGTCAATACGATTTGTTATTGTAACGGAAGATTTCTAAAACGCAAATGGTTTCTTGTTGCTTTTTTTTAAAAACAGACTTAATCTCTTAGGCATCTTGCGGAAATATCAGAAAGTCTCCAAGCATAATTTGCCCTCCTCTTCTGAATGCATTTGGCTCCTTTTTCCTTCTACTGAATGTGATTCCAGAGACAGATGCTCATGTTTCCCTCACCTGTCCACTGCTGCTCATGTGTGAGCGGTGGCTGGGAGTATTGTTGGGTCTCTGATCGTGGTGGGTAGAGGACAGGTAAATGCTCAATCTGGTTTGAATCCGCTGTGACAGACACCCACCTGACCAAAAAACAAACGTTTCATTTAAATTTTGGGAAATGTTCAAATCAAAATCCAATAGTAATGAAGTTTATGGCAGCATAAAATATGCCACGGAATGTCAAGCCATATATTCTTCTGTGGATTATAATAATCCTTGCATTTGATCTCAACAAAAAATAGGCTACATGAGGAGACTATGGATGGTATGGATGGTAATACAGTGTACTTCCCTACAGCTTGTCACACAACACAATTAGCCATGGCCTAACCACATAAATCTCCTGTTTGTCTGTCCTTAGGCTGTGAGCATGTTCTCTTGCTATTCTTTGTATTTGTACCAACACAACGCTGAGCTCTTCAGAGACAAAGCGAGGCCAGCAGAGTGCATGCACCATTCGCAACGTCTGAACACGACGGAAAAGACCAAGTTTGTAATCATTGTGTTCTGCAGAAGGTTACTGCGATTATCAGTGTCGGATTGGTTCCCATCTCTTAAACATTGGTGTTGACCTCAACAAATGTAAGTACATTGCTTATTTTGCTGCAGTATTTTGTTTGTTTGTAGTCGGACATGAAATTATTGTATGAAGATAACCCTCTAGAATCATGACATTTTCTTCAGGTCAATTAAGTTACTAGCGTTGGCCGCCTGAGGTTATAATGGGATTTTTGTGAGTGATCATCAGTAGAAAAACATCATGTGTGAGAGGATTCCTTTGCCATTACCTGCAGCGACTGTAACTATGTGTGTTTTACAGTGTGTAAATCCCACTTTAAATGTGTTTATATAATTGCAAGTGCCTGACCCTAGCAGAAAGGCAACTCATTTTGGTAAAAAGTTCCATCGAACAGATTCCCAACAACATTATTCTGGCACCTCGTTGAGTGCATTTTCAAGCAAAAGTCTTGATTTGTCGACTGACCCTTTACACGTGAGCTTTTTCCAGGCGCATTGATTCCCAAGCCGGGAGCTATTCTAATAGAATCCAGTGAAATAAAAAGGAAGTTGGCATAAGAGCTTTGTATTCTAGGAAAAGGAAATCCCACCAGAATAGAGCTGGAGACTTGGGAATTTTAAAGATCCAGTAAACATTAAACCGCAAGAACTTTCCATGGATTTCAGTTAACTGAAAAGCTAGTTCTGAGAAAGTACAGAGTAACTTCTGCTGTATTTAAATAGGTGAAAACCTTGGAGGTCAGCCAGTCAGAATACAGTGAATCAATCTGAATCGCTTGACTGTAAAACAAATGGGAAAAAACACAACAAAAGAAAAAAGATTTTTTTTTGATTTACTGCCGACTGGAACAGGAGCAAAGTCGCTGACTTAGATAAGGGAGAGGAGAGTGGTGCTGAGAGGGTGATGGATGTAAAAGGCAAACATTGCCTGTGTGCGATGGTGTGAATATAATATCTCCCGTGCACACTGAATAGCAATGACATCAGTTTCCACTCTAACTGCATCCACTTTACAATATATTATTTCAAGATAATGGAAATGTAACAAATTGTCCATAATTTACATTGGTCACTGGCAAATGTGAAGCGCGATAAACTACAATAAGCAAATTAATATATTAAGCTCTGATCGGGCAGTCATTTGGATGTGGTCGACAAGACTGGATTAACAGAATAGCGATAGGAATGTGTCTGCATCGTGGGCACAGATCAATGTGAATCCAGTCGACAGCTCAAAGATCTCTGAGTACATACAATCCTGCGTAATCCCAAATCAACACTAACGCTGTGATAGGAGGCGAGCTATGGGACATCACTGATATCAGGTGTTGCCCCCGAGGAGATCCCCCGAGCATCACATCAACAATTACAACAGTAGGAGAGGCAACACAATTGGAGAATTGGCCTCAAATGGGAAGTTCAAATGTGCAGGGCTATGGGGTAAGAGCATGTGATTGGGACTAGTTGGATAGCTCCTTCAAAGAGCTGGCAATTGCACAATGGGCCGAATAGTTTCTTTCTGTGCTGTAAGACTATCAATGGGAGGAAAATAAGAGATACTGAGGAAGTGAAGATAAAATTGACCAAAAAAAAGGAAATCCCAGGCCCCCATTTTAGCAGAAGCTGCTAGTCAAACAGCAGTTAGTAAAGATATCCATCCACACAAGCTGGACTTGCAGAAAACTGTTTGTTAAACTCAGATTGGAGCTAACATTGGAAATTGGAGAACAGATGTGAGATGATGCGATTTGTATGGACTAATTTTCTTATCTTTTAAAGGGTGAGAAGTGGGAGAGCCAGGCAACAAGGAGGTTTTATGAACAAAAGCTAATAAGCTGCTTTGCAATTTTTGGGACTGAAAAGTGAGCATGATTATCAGTAACGAAATGCAGACGCACCTGACCACAAACATTCCAGACTCTTTGGTGATGTCTGAATGTAATTAGGTTTAGTCAGACCAGCCCTGTCTCTGACCGGTACAGAGAGTAAAACAGTCAATTGAACGACCTGAAACAGCAAAGAATGTGAGACATTAACACACAAGCCAAACATATGTACAGTGCAGATTTTTCTGTAGGTAAACTCCGACCATTTCCTTTTCCCAAGGCCTGCGTGTAAACATTCAGCATTCCTCTGAAGTTCAGAGGCAAACTTTCCAGAGCAGATTGTGTAACAACATACAGCCATTTATACACCCATCACATGATCTGTTTTCTAATGGTTTCTGTGTTATCTTCTGTTGGGTAGTTAAAACTTGGAGAACAATTCTAAACCCTGTTGTAATTCCAACCTGATTCCAACCTGATTTCAAACCTAATCCAGCCCTTCCTTTAGCTCAATTTATTGGGCAAAATCTTATTTTTGACTTGACGGAATCGCAACTCCCCTCTGATATTTGCCCAGATAATGACACTAATGAGTAGTTACAGCCTATTTGGGGGCTTTGCTGAGCTGAATCCAACCCTATCCTCACCCAATGTTCAAATGCACATTCTTTCCAGCAGAATCTCCTCCTCCTCTCCCCAGCCCACCCCAGGAGATCCAGATTGTCAGCCCCATTCCCCCCCTCACTCCGACCACTACACTGCACTGACTCTGACTTCATTGTGATATTATGCACTGATGCAAAAAGATTAAAAACAGGAAGGTTTTACAATCAATCGCTGGGTAAGGACCATCTCTGTTGCTGCAAACAATTCCTTAAATACATCTAAAGCTGTCAGAATGTGACTCAGGGAGACAAACTGGGCAATTGATCAACTCCACACAATGTGTGACAGAACGTTTGAGCAGTTCTCAGATGCACAAATTTATTTAGTTCCAACTTGATGCAGCTTTATTATTAATTATTGTTAATATAAATTAACTTAATGAACAACGTCCCAAGAACAGAACAATGTAGAGACACTGCAATAGGTGAGTGGATTTGGGCTGAGTAGTTTTCTCCTCAACAGCTCCCTATATTTTCGCCCCATGTAAACAATGTCTCAGGATAGAAAATCTTCTGCGTTAGATTTTTTGGGATCTAGTTGCAGACTGTATGATACTGCCTAGGATCCCACACAATACAATTGGCTTTAAGCCACACTGAATGTCTGCAAGTCAGGGGCAAACAACATGTTTTATGGTGCACTGCAAGACTGAATTACAATGTTCCGAGAAATTATTATTTTTATGCTGTGCTCTTAACATATCAACTTAGTTAACGAATAGAGTTTTTTTTGTGTAACGAGAAACATGCTGGTGAATTGCGAGTAGCATGAATGGGCGTTTGTTGTGTGATGATTGATGCTGTAGTATATACATACTCCAGGCTGTACTTTCCTGTGCTGGGTAATCTACAAGTAGGTTGAAGGTCATTGAGTGAATCGCAGAGAAGAGAAGACATCTGTTCTTAAACAGCTTAAATTAACAAACAGAAGCCACAGCCTCAAGAATATTAACAAGGAAACAAACAAGAAACACCTCCCAGCCGAACCGCAGAGCAAAATGCAGAAAATAGAGAAATATAACTGACTGTGCACTCATTCCACCCTCAGCCACTGCCACTAAATAGTCAGATTCATCCTGTTCACATCCAATTTATCTTGTTAGTCAAATGAAATGCAATTCACACATCATTTCTCTAAAACAACAACAAAATTACATTTGTATAGTTGTAACTAAAGGTTAGATTGAAAATCTTTGCAACTGCAGTAAACATGTTAAATAGATTGATTAATGCTAGGCTATTTACTCGATGTACTGACTCCAGCTAGTCTAGGGTTCACATACCCCGTATTTATTTCCATTTAAAACGACTGCAGCTATTAATGGGATGTTGGATATACAGTACCTACTTTCTTTCTCTTTCTCCTCATTTCATATTGGTTTGTGTTAGAATGTATCCTCGCTGCTACTATTATCAATAATTACCCAAACCCTGTGCCAACTCTCCTTAACGTCCATGTCTAGTTGGGAGTCTGGCCTCATGGAGCCATGTTCTGTTCCCTCGCTGAAGCCTCAGGAATGCTGTGATAATAACCACCTTGTAATGACAATTCTTTTAAAAAAAATTATAAGCAGGAATTCCATAGTACCATTGGAGGGCTTTAACTTGGTACGTTCTTTAAATAGATTATACAGTCAATTCACTTTGCAGTATGTTTGCAAGTCGCTTTATAATATTAATAATATCCTTGCATTTGATATAGCGCTTTTCACGTCAGGAGGATGTCCCAAAGTGCTTCACAGAACACACCGTAAAGTGAATTAACTATACATTTGTGGGTGAACGCGGCAGCCAATTGCGCACAGCAACGTCCCACAAACAGTCATAGATTGAAAATTACCAATTTTTATTATTGTTTTTGGTTTTGAAGGGATTATTATTAGGCTCTGTATGGAGTAAGGAAACTTGCCCAAGGTTTCGCCCTCTGCCTGGAATTGAACTCAGGTCTCTCACTTGCAAAGCGAGAGCTTTAACTACTGAGCTACAGGACTCCACAGGGGCTTTGGGGATTGTTGTTATTATTTGCTGTTGTGCTATTCCAGTGCTGCTTGTGAAAGGCCGCATTAAACAAACCATCTCAAATTGCCTTCTCTATTAAATTGGCCAGTTTTCATTCCTTCTGCGATGTGTAAGGACACTGTGCCTGGCTCCTTTCTCTGCGTTGCAGGCAAGTGTTCACCAGCGTGAGAGGGGGTCAGCTTTGCCCTGATGATCACTCATACTGGGCTGGGTCCAGTCATTACACTGAGGGACTGGCAAACAATAATAATAATAATCCTTGCATTTGATATAGCGCCTGGTCATGTCTTCGGTACGTCTCAAAGGCTTCACAGAATGTACTGTAAAGTGAATGGACTGTATTTTGTGGGTGAAACGATTCTAGAGTTATCAAAATACCTTGGATTTATACTAATTTGGTGCTTTTTATATGCCGTTGTGACCATTGAGTCTGCGGAACACCACAAGTTGGCAGAACAGCTACTGACCAACGCTTCCTGACAGCTGTGCAGATGACTGTAGAGTAACACCGTCCCCTGCTGGAAGTTCTTTATATGACTAAAGGAGAAGGATAAGAATCAGGAATGGACATGATTAGAGGTGGTTAAGAATCCAGGAGGTGCTATAGAGATATGTTTGGTGTATTGAAGTAGCAATACTAACCAAGGCCGTGCCATTTCAAGATGAATAATAGTAATAACGTACATCTACAGCAGTTGGAAGACCTGTAACTTATTTTAATATTGACTGTTCAGCTCCTCCAGTGGCCGTCTAGGTAAAGACATCATCTGCCCCTGGACCGTGACCCGGGCTAAATTCTCCCAATTTCTACAGTAACTACAGATGATTGTAAAGGTCCGGCCACAACTTGTCTTGGCAGCTGATAATTACTAAGGCCACTCATTGAACTAATGCAAACTGCAGTAGTTGTTGTGAAAGGTGGAGAATTTAGAAGCTGCAGTGGTTATGGTAGATAAAACTGGTTAAACAGCAGCAGGTGCCAGTGGTTAGCCAATCAAACCCCATTCACGAGTACTACAAACTGCTGTGAAACAGGATTTTCAGCCTTGATGGTGAGTAGGACCTTTACATTGTTCAAGCTACAATGACACCAAACTTTGATCAACTCATCAAAGAGAAACAAGCTCAAGTTTCTCATTATGTGGAACCTGTGATTTGTGCTCAAGTACTACATTTTAATATTTGCTGCATTTAGTGCTTATGCATTACATTAATGTGTGTATTATATATTGTGGGTAAGAAATATTTTGTAAGCCAGATGTTTATTTTGCACTAAAGCTATTTACTGGGTTGCAACAGGCAAATGAGCCCAAAAAGGTTGAGAACCACTGGGACTCTACCCCGTGTGGGCGCTATATAAATGCAAGCTATTTTTGGTGGTTGTCTGAACAACCTGCACCAATTACACTGCATTATGTTTTGAGCTTGGTCTGGGCATTGCTGCTGTGTAATATTTTCTGTCGATCCTAGTGTCGTGGTGGTTATGATTGTATTGTCACTTTGCAATCTCCTATGTGATTTGAAGAGTCAGTGTCTTTCGAGGCCAAGACAACTCTCTTGTTTATTGATAAAGACATCTGGACTTAAGTTTGAAGCAATTTATTAGGTCAAGTCACTCAAGCAGCTCTCCAGCAACACTCAGCAAAATAATGCACAGTGAGTGATCGAGCCCGGCGGACACACTGACAGGACTTCTCTTCAGAAGTAAAAGGTGTAGCTGTGTCTTCTCGTATATTTCTGTACTTTGATACTTTACTCAAACACAATTTAGATTGCCCATAACATCCTGTCTACCATGTAATTCGGTCCTAAATGGCACTGACGAGTTACCACAACATCCTGTCTACCATGAAACAGAGATAGCACGGTTGAATATGGGTTTGAAGAGGACAGAACGTCTGTCGGATATCAAGAGCTAACTCTCTAGAGTTGAACATCAACAAGTCCGAGGCCCTTCTGATTGGCTCCCATCGGCACCTCCTCACTTCAGGCGCTGCCAGCATCACCATCCAAGGATGCACCTCACTGAGCCAGTCCAGAAACTTTGCACCTTGTTTGACCCTCAACTATCCTTTCTACCCCACATTTGAGCCATGACCCGGTCTGCCTTCACGCAATGTCGCCCGGCTTCACCGCTGTCTCACACCGCAGGTCGCCGAGACCCTCACACACTTGACTATGCAAACTCCTTGCTTGTCGGCCTCCCCAACTCCTCTCTCCACAGTCTGCGGATCATCCAGAACTAACTCTGCAGCCCATGTCCTCCAGTACCAGGTTCCGTGACCCCATCATCCTCACCCCCACCAGCCTCCGCAACCCTATCACCCCATCCTCACCCGACTCCACTGTCTTCCCATCACACGGAGGATACAGTTCAAGATTCTTGTCCTCCCCCCAACCTCTGCCACCACCTCCTCCTAACACCCTGCCTCCTGCTCCCTCTGCCCAGTGGGTTCTGGCTTGCGTCTTGTGCCCTCCCCCCTCTGCCCCGCCCTTTATGGGGAGTGCGGGCAGGTTGGACTCTCTGCGATGCAGTCCCGATGTGAACGGCGCTATATAAATGCAGGTTGTTGTCGACAGTGCGCACATAATTTTGGGGGCATTGCCGTTCGACGTTATTAATCAATCCCGGGGTGTGACCCGGCGCCTGATCACGTCGTCGAGACGTCTCAAAGCGCTCCGCGGGACACGCCGTCAAGTGTAGTGACTGTGTGTTTTGTGGGTGAAACCCAGCGACGTCCCCACAAACAGCCGCGGGATCGAAGCCACCGAATAACCTGCAGATCATTGCACAGTGAAGCTGCGGGTGATGGCCATTGTGACAGTGACCCCACCCCCTGTGTGCAGCCCCCCATGACCAGGCCCCGCCCCCGTGTCGAGGCCCCGCCCCCATGACTAGGCCCCCCCCCGCGTACAGGCCCCACCCCCGTGTCCAGGCCCCGCCCCCAGCTTGGTTGCCGTGGATTGGCTAAGAAGATAGAGGCCCCGCCCCCATATCTGGTGGCCGTTGATTGGCTAGGACCCTGAAGGCCCCGCCCCCATATCTGGCGGCCGCTGATTGGCTAAGACGATGAAGGCCCCGCCTTCTATCTGGCGGCCGCTGATTGGCTGAGGCGGGGAAGGCGCGGAGCGGAGGCCATGGCGCCGGGAGCGTGAAGCCGCCTCAGCCCCTCACTCACTCACTCACTCACACACACACAATGGCGTCCAGCAGCGACAGCGACGACAACAGGCGGACCCAAGGCGCGGGGAGGCCCCCGAGCAGCCAGTGCGGCCCCGGGGCCGCCATCAGCCTGAGGCCGGCGCCGTCCGTGACCCGGAGCGGCTCGAGCTCCAAACAACAAAATGGCGAACACACGGCGGGAACAACAACAACAGCAGCTCCTCCTCCATCTTCATCCTCATCTTCCTCACCGCCTGCTGTGTCTCCTCAGGAGGCGGCCGCTCACAGCCACAGCGAGGAGCCCCCGGGCCCGGCCCCCGCCCCGCACAACAACAACAACAACACCAACAAACCCGGAGACCCCGCGGCTCGCAAAGCCTTTCACATCCCCAAGAAGAACAAAGAGAAGAAAGGTCTCTCTCTCTCTCTCACTCCCCCTTCCTCCCCCTCTCTGTCTCTCCCTCTCTCTCCCTCTCCTGTCTCTCCCTCTCCCTCTCTCTCTCTCTTCTCTCTCTCCTGTCTCTCCCTCTCCCTCTCTCCTGTCTCTCCCTCCCTCCCTCTCCTGTCTCTCCCTCTCTCTCTCTCTCTCCCTCTCTCTCTCTCTCTTCTCTCTCTCCTGTCTCTCCCTCTCCCTCTCTCCTGTCTCTCCCTCCCTCTCACTGTCTCTCCTCCGCGCTCTCTCTATCTGCCTCTCCCTCAGTCCTGATTAAATTAAGTTTATTTACAAATTTCGCCCACGAAACACACAGTCACTGCACTTTACAGTGTATCTTGTGAAGCGCTTTGCGGGGTCTGGAAGACGCGAGAAGGCGCTGTGTCGGACGCGAGGATTGTTATTATTTTATTAGATTCTCTCCCAGTTATCATCATCGTCCTTTCGACCGTTTCTGCTGGTATCTGCCCCCAAGCTGCGCGTTGCAAGCGAAGCTCTTGTTGACGAAAACTGACTCGTTCACTGGCACTTCAGAAGCCTTCTGCTTACAAATCAGTGCAACGTCAAATGCGGGGGAGTGGGAGGGGGTGTGGGGGCATTTGTGACTCACTGTACAACCAGCCTTTGTTCTTACCCACTGGATTAGTGTATTGTCAAACTCCGTCGCAGCCTTATCTACTGGGAGCTTTGGCTTTCATCCTGGGAATGCACGTTGTCCTTGAATCACGGTTGTGGAGCGTTCTTGGACAAAAAGAGCCTTTTGGTTCCCTCCCCTGTTCTTTCTGGAATTGATTAAGCTCGTTTGAGATGCCAAAGCTTGTTCGTGTTAGTTATTATATTCATTTCTAAAACCAGCACAATCTTAGAAGTGTACTACGTATAGGTTATCAAGGTAGTAAAATGCATGTTTCTTGAAGTATTTGAAATGTTGAAGAAAGGAGTTGGGGAATGCATATGATTTGGGCTATTACAGAGGCTGTGTTAGACATCTCATTCAGTATATTACTGTATTTGACAAAGTTTCTTATGCACCTCAAAGCATTTTCTATGATGTAGAGTGTGTTTGTAGACAAATGAGGGGGCAGTTTTTGCATATGTCCCATGCAAAGTCCCTCAACCACTGAAAATTTCCATTTAGTACATGGCTGTTACGGATCTTGGAACAAAGGTCTGTTTACCCACCAATATACTCCACTATTTCCTTCACGTGAATTTAGTTGCAGTCTATTCAAATATAGCAATTTGTTTTTTCCATACTCCCCCATCACCACCACTGTATCATTGTACTAATTGGATCCTTTTGCTTTCAGAACTTTTCCAATCTATACCCGTGGCCTCCAGAGAATTCAAGCAAGATATTTTGAAAATTCTCAGTTCTTCTTACCTGGAGACTTTGTCGAGTACTAATTTTGCTTATGTGAAGGCCAGCATGATTCACAATGACAAGCTGGAAAAAGAGGTTGGTGGATTGATTACTTGCACTGTCTTAAACGTGTCCAGGAATACTTCCCATGTGTGTGTGCCTTGGGATGTTCTCCTGACGTGAAAGGTGCTATACAAATGTAATTTGTTGTTGTGCTTGTGAATTAAATCTTTGTATCTTAACTTACAGTTCACGGAAAAACGGAAAGAATTGAGAACTGAGGGTCGGACTGAGAAGGAACTCGCTGAATTGTACGCTTTCTTGCTAGTTGACCCTTCAGAGGTGTGTGTGTATCTTTCTGTTTTAGTTTAAAGCAGTTTTGTTCAACTTTAGTTGAAGTAAGTCTCGTCTCTTTGGGGCTGCGTTGGCCTCGAGGTGACATGTCTGGAAACAGCAATTGATTAAGGAGCAGCCAAGCTGGCTTGTTGGCATGACTTGGAGGAGCAGATGAATCACTGGAAGTCTTCCCACTTGAATCCTGATAACTCTGCAAGCCAAAATCCTATTGGGAATTGTTCTCCTGGCTGGATAAGCCTCAGGAAGCTTACCGGTGTGGTCAATTCTCAAATGAAAATATTATAAGAATATATCGGATTGTTTCGCTATAAAGTCATAATCAAAGGCTACGGAATGTGGGGGTTAAGTACATCTGCACAAAAGAGCCAAGTCATGGTATAGTGAAACATAGTGGTTAAGGTGTTGCAAATTTTAAATGCTAGATGGCAAAAACAGGAACCTGTGACTTTGTGCACACCAACTTTATGTACTTGTATCTTGCCATATAAGGAAACAAATTGTCTGTCTATGGACATGTGAAAAGATAGTGAGTGAGGATGAGGTGCGATGCAGTTGAACTGGATGTCCATTGTCTCACTTCCTGTGCCATGCAAATTAAGTTTGAGCTTCGTCACACACTGATGAATCTCATGTCTCATACTGCACAAAGTTGGTATCGCAACATCAGGCTGCGCTGTTATCTAACCATCAACTCCAATAACAGTACCTCACACTCTGGGCTCTCCAAGGCTTGAGCCTTACTAACCTGCAGCTGAATTCCTCACAAGCAAGTAAGTAGGTGGCATCCACCCGAGGGGAGAATGCAGAAACCACCAACTTGTATTTATATAGTGTCCTTCTCCCGGGGTAAAGTCTCAGAGCACACTTCATATAAATAAATGGAAACCATACACAGGTTGAACTGTTTGGTTGTTAAGAATGGTCCTGGGTTTGTACTTGTGGATGACTACATGTAATAGATTGATGTACTCCGACCATGTACTTTGTGATAATGTACTTTGACTATTGGAACTGTAACTAGAACCAGATGTCCTATTTTAATACTGGATTAAACCATTGTTTTCTTATGTCTATCCTAGGCTTCCATCATTTGTGATAAAGGACTTGCTGTAGGGAAATCCAAGGTAACCATTCTTGGAAACCCTGCAATGGGTAAGGAACCATAATAATTGTTTTTCTCACAGATGAGAGTGGTTTGTTAATTTGTAAAGTTATTGCTGAAAATTATTCCAGGTTAATTATGCCCATGTATTTGGTTTAATGCAAGAGATATTCATAAAAGAATGACTAACCTGAGGATTCAATAACAGGTTTGCTCTTTTCTGTCCCCAGGTGTTTATCTTTCTAAATACTCTGATATACTTCAGCCCAATCCTTTGGATACTGGAAAACAGGCGGATATTATCATTTTCAAAATCATAAAGGTGGGTGTTTTTAGTTTCAGCTGGTTGAACTTCAGTAATCCCACCCCCAACAATCTGGCTTTTACTGACCTGCGCCGAATCATTTCTGGAATAAAGTGGGATACTTACCCTGCTCATTTCTTATTTTCTTTGATTATTTCAGGGAAGAGTAAAAGCTGTGTTTGATAATCCCACCAAGAACTTCACCCCTCCGACACCAAAGCACGATTGCCATGTTTCCAAAAACCTTAACCGGGTCACTTCACTCTTCACTTACAGAGCATTTGACATTACTCAGGTACATTTTGAAAACGTGCAGTGTCTTTTCAACACAATCATTGTAATAACCTCACAGTCATCCTTCGAAGTCTTTGTTAAATAAGAGAGCTGTTTATTTTCAGACAATCCTTAGGGATTGGAGTTCAGAATTTAGCTAATTGCTATTAAATGCAGGTGTTTGCTAAGCACGAACAGAAGTGATGTTCAGCAGAGAAAGATTGTATCCCAGTAACTTCATTAAACTTGCAACTCTTTAATTTTCAGTTTTATCTCTATGAAATTGGGAGTGAAGGTGTAAGGCAGATCCCGAGGCATGTTTGCCCATATGCTGTGGTCTCGTTTGTTTACAAGGAAGACAAGATTCCCAAAACCCCTAAATCAGCGGTGTTCAGGTAGGAACCTGTGCCTTATAATTCATATGAGCTTCCAGAAGAGTAGCTTCCTCCTGGAGTCCTCCTGTGTCAACAGTCTTAGACGCTAACCTGCGTGAAAGACACTATATAAATGCAAACTGTTGTTTTACTTTCATGGGGAGGGTAGAAAGAAACTAAAGCTGTTTTAGAAAAAGGTTCTCTGGAATATATTTTGAAAACTTATAAAGAATTAAATGTTCACTAGATTGCCCTAAGCATGGAATGTGTTTTGTGATTGGAGAGAGGCCGGGGGTGGGAGGAGAAGGAGATGGGACTATTTTTGAAATTGGATCTACATTGCTTGCATGAACAGTAAAATGAATTTCTTTCTGTTCTGCAGCATGGATGACATCCAGTCAGGTATGTATATTGCAGTTGTTCATATGTTTTAAATGTTATGTGAATTGTATTGGCTCCCTTCCTCTCCGAGCTCGTCCTTACACAGGCTGCAGACCATCCCGAACTGCAGAGCATGTCCTCCCCCACCACAGCCCATTATTGCTACGATCTTATTATAATTGTCAGTTTTCTATGAGAGAAATGATAAATGTAAGGGAATTTGTTTGTTCTTTTCCATGTTTGAAATAATTGAGATTTTTGTGGGGATTGATACAATATCATTCCCCACGAATCATTGCCTGTATTCATTCTTCTGCAGATGGAACTGGTGAAAAATATATTTTTATAGTTTATCTTCAGCCTCCAGGTTTTGATGATTAAATGTATTGAATATCTCACATTGTTAAAGAATCTAAACCTCTCAAAAGATCTAATTTTATCTTCACATTTATGGCTGCCCTGATTGTTCTCAATGAACATCCCTTCACATCAGTCCCAAGCTCCGTCTCACAGGCTCCTCTTGGAAGTGTTTCGAGATGTCCTCCTGACATGAATGTTGTGACATAAATGTACAATTGTTGTATTTTGGTTCAAATATCAAAGAGTTTTCTTTGTGCAGGAAAGTCTCACTACACTGTGTGGAAAGGACAACTGGTGAATAAGGGGCGATTTTTTTGCTTTGGTTCCCTCAGAGCAGCCTCCCAGCCATTCCTGCCTATGAAGTTGTAAGTAAGGTTGCTTCTTCACACATTATTGTTTAATGGAAATATTTGAAATAAGTAAATTTGATATTGGTTTTGCTGACCGTGCTGATGCTGTGAATTATATATAATAATAATCCTTGCATTGATATAGTGCTTTTCACAACTATATAGACAGTACAAGCACCAAAACAAGCCATTCGGACTAAATTGTCAGTGTTGGTGTTTATATTCCTCATTCCAATTGGGGGCATTCTTCCTAATTCTGTCCCTTGTCGGCCGTACCCCTCTTTCTTCCTGATATTGTGCACTGCACTCTCTCCATTGATACAATGTGCTTGTAGTATGGCAGACGGTGTTACAGGTGTGATCTAGCGAAGATTTTATGCACATTAGACATTGTTTCCTTGCACTTGTACTCTGTTCTTTATGACCTGTAAATCTGGGTGCTCAGATCTCTTTGTGAATGTAAGTTCTGCTTTGAAAGGCTCTGTTGGAAAAGAGAACTGCAGGGTTTCTCTGAGGTGGGCTGAAGACTGAAAAGTCACAAAAACTAACGTTCTGTGGAGAGTTTGAACCTCGGACAGGGTAGTTATACAGTGTTTCAAACACCTTGTCTGCTGTATGGTAATTAACTCAATGCATAATTTAGTTTAAAATATCTTAAAATGGATTATTTAATTTTGTTGGGCAGTCAAATATGTAAAACTTATTCTTATATTGAGTATTCTTCTATTTTAGACCTGAAAAACTTGATGTTGAAACTGTTATGAGCATCGATTGCTTAAAAACCAAAGTACCAGCGGCAGTGTTCCACAAAAATACTTTTTGTGGGTTAAGAGAAGGTAAGAGTTTGGTCTGATTAAGAAAAGCTGTTGTTTGTTGTGTGTGTTGGTATTGTTATAAATGATCAGAATGGCACTAATCACTCTATTTAGCATGTCATAAGGTGTGGGCAGAACAGAACCAGCTATTCTGTGTCTAGTCAAAGTATAGAAACAAGGACCTGAGAATAACAATCTTGCTTAACAATTCATTTATTACAGAAACCCATGAATATAGTTTCAGGTTAATATAACCGGCAGTAAGTATTACACTTAACTTCGAGTACGCCACTGATGACAATATCAGAGTTGTCAGCCAGCAGATATTCTCTTGGTTTGAGAGCAAGATAGCGAGGGTTGGATTGTTCATTGTGTAGGTAGGTGTGTAGGTGGCTCCCTGAACGTCTGGTGGGAGTTTTGCTTTGTTGATTATAGCAAAAGCTACAATCGTCTCGAAGGCATGATCAGGCACTATATCAAATGCAAGGATTATCAAAAGCGGTTCTCTACTGCATGTCCAAGCCGTTACACCCTAGTTGTTTCCTTCTGCATTTACTCCCGCTTCCGTAGTCTCAACACCTTGCTGAGTTTCTCCCAGTCTCACATGTTTTATCAGCTTGTGAGCATGTTTTGCAACCTTGACTAATTATTTTCTCATTGATGCAACCTTCACTACAACACATACAATGTGACAATGTGTACATTATTATGAGCACATTTTACTTTTATCACATGTTATACATTTATTTATGCAACCATCTTGGTCAAGAATAACAATACACCAACTGGGGCTGACCTTGCCCTGTTACATTCTGTAAACAATCAACCTTATTTGCATCAACAAGCAGATTATATTTCACAGCAGTGCATGTCCAGTGCCTTGGGATGTCCTCCCGACATGAAAGGCGCTCTATAAATGGAATCTTGTTGTTGTTGTTTAAGATGTTTCACTTCTATAGCATTTTCTGGTGGTACTATTGTATGGAGTCTGAACATCAGATGTATCTGAGCATTGTTCTGGATGGGCAAGAATGTTAGCAGCCTTGCTTTGTTAACGTGTGGTAGGTTTGGCACTTGAGTAACAAAACTAACACTTGATATCGTGGTTTCCGCGAAAGCCTAGTTGTGTATTTCTAGGACTTGCCCATTGAGCTTTGTGGTGAGGAGTGGAAAGTATACATTGATCATCTGCTCCTGATTGCTTTATTGTTCACAACAATATTGCTTTGCATTTAGCGGCATAAAATAAACAATCAATTCACGTTACAGTGCATCCTATGAAGCGCTTTGAGACGTCTCAAAGATGTGATAAGGCGCTGTATCAAATGCAAGGATTATTTTTATTACGATTGGCTCCAATTTAATTGGGTTGAGAAAGCGGAACAATATTCTGCCTCCCACTGCTCAAGAAAATTCATTCCTCCCTTTTCTTTCTCCCCCACCTTGCAAAAACATCCAAGTTTGACTAACCTATTGCTATGAATGTTCTTTGATTTGTGATTTCTTTAGTACTGAGCTGCGTTATTCATTATTTGCTAACCCAGGTTACCAGTTTCTCTTTGTTTTTTCCCCAGCGTTGAGGAATGGACTGTATTACAGTTTGTATGAGTTTGTGGAACGGGGAAAAACTGGTAGCAATTTGGAGGCTCTGCTTCATAAGCTGGAAGAAGATAAACAGGTGAGTGAATTGATGTTCTGGATGCTGAGATTTATGAAGTGTAATTATCACTGAAATAAATTACTCTCGTTCCCTTAAACATGGCTTTTCTTGCCCTGTATTCTGTGTGTTTGCTCAGATTGTAAATGGAAGCATAAATCTACCTGGTATTGAATTGTAGTAAATATTGACAAGCTTGTGTAGTGCGATGTAAATCAACGTGTGTGTGTGTATGCATGCAAATTTGCAACGAAAAGCAAGTAATCTCTTCTGTTTCTTTGAGTGTGTGCGTAAGTTATTGGGTCTTATCGGCTGTGCACTATGTTCAGACTATTTCAAAGACAGCCTTTGTTTTGATGCACAGGTTCTTATCAAACCACTGGGCGACCAGGGATTCCTGCTGCTGTTTTCTCCGTCAGAAATGGCTGGGAATGATGGTGAGTCTATTCATTTCTATTGAATAATTTTGTATTGATTGTCTGGATTGATCTGAGGGGTGCGTTCACCTAGTGTCGATGGAATTCTCAATCCGGATGTATTTTTATGTCTACTCCATTCTTTTTAAATTAGAATTTCAAGGCTCAAAGTCCAAGTTTCTTCAAGCATTGTTTTTGTTTCCAAAGCCTCGAATGATGTCCAGTGTTGGTAAGCAGACGATATCGTACGTGTGTGCGCATGTGTATTTTCTGTGGAGTAGCCAGAAAATGTCCAGGAAATAATTTGTATGTTATTGGCAGAATAAAGCTGTGCAGACTTGCAAGTTTCCACGGCAACAGTGGATGTAATTTTTTTCCTATTTCCAATCAACCTATCGTAATTCTGGGTTTAAAGCTAGGTGTGGGTCTCTTGACTCCAGAATTCAGAAATTTTATTTTACCAAAAAATATTTCCAGCCCTGGAGTGGAGAAATTATTCCAGAATGTTATCTTGTCACTATTCCTAGATTTTAGTGGATAATAAATTTGAGATAACACCCCCCCCCCCCCCGTATAATCTGTATTTATATCATTCCAAAGCGAGTGCTGCAAAGATAAAGTAAAAGAAGTTTAAATGTCCTCGGTTACATAACTTGAGAAATTGTCTAACGTATAACTGAGATCTTCCTGTCTGGTGTTTTGTAGAAGAAACAGAGAGACATGCGGAGACGACAGCAGTTCCCCACATTGGCCCTGAGGCATTACCTGAGCTGTCTACACTTGTTCCTGCGCTGCACTTTGCTCTGGACAGAATTCGGAAAGAGCTGCCCAACAGTTTACAGAAGACAACAATGGATGTTGCGTTTGAAAATAATCTGATGGGTTATTTGAACTGTTCAGGAAAAGAAGCTTCTGCTGAGAATGGGAAACCTAAATTCACCCTCCCTCCCTACGAGGAGAGACGGTTTTCTACAGTCAGGCAGAAGAGACCAAATGTTCACAGAATCCTGCGCTCGTACTTTTTCAACCCCTTTCATTACCAGTTTGACGTTTCTAAAGCTTTGGAGATGTTGGAACATCATCCAAATCGAGAGGCCAAGATTCCCAGTCCACCCTTGGAGTGTTCAGGAGACAAGCAGAAACTCGAACCACAGCCTGCTCCTGAGGAACCCATTAACTCCACAGTCACCAGCAGTATGGCTGACTACAACTTTATGATACCCTCTGTGAACATAGCTGATTACGACCCTGATAAAATTCAGGAACTTATTGACTTAATCCACACCAGGAAAAGGCACAGACCTGGTGAACCCAGTGTAGTGAATATCGAAGGACTTGCACATTGTATATCTGATAAAAATAATCTTGGGTTGAAAAGGAAGTTAGTATGTGTCACTGAGAGGAGTCATAAACGCATGAAGACCACTCAAGGTACTGCAAACTGTGTATTTTATATTTACTATATAAACGATTGATGAGCAGGGTTAGTGTATTGAGAGAAGAGAAAAATCAGGCATAAAAGTATCAAACAGTTCTATTTAACAGGACTCTGACTATAGAAAGTGGATTGTGGTGATTACTCTGATAGCTAGAGAGCGACTAAAGGAAGAGGAACAACAGTTTATTTAATAATCCAGAGACCCATCTGCTGAAGCTGCAAATGGCCTTGGAGAATTTGTCATTATTGCACGGAGTTAAATCGGTGGAAAGACGAGCAGCTTTGTTTTCATGGAAACTTGTATTTTTAGGAGCTTCCCAGAGTATATTTGTGGAATAATATTTGTTGAAAAATGTTATCTGTACCTTGTAGCAGGAATCTGATTTCAGGAAGTTTTACACTCACAGTGCAAGGATAGGAATAAAGAAGCTTGTCTGTGCCCATGTGAGTGTTTCCCTGGTGCGAGATGGAATTTTACTGTCTTATGGTCTACCTTTAGAGCAGACTTGGAAATTATTATTTGATGCAATTTTATCTGAATACTTTTCAGACTAGATGATTAAGTTGATATACTGATTTGCTATTAACGAGTGCAGTGGAAAGCTCTGTTAAACTGGATTAAACTGTCCTGAACCCAAACCTCTAAGCGCTTCCACTTTTCAGGAAAGCTCGACAGCCTCAACTGAACTCATAGCTGTCTCTCCTTTGTCGTTCTATTATGAACACTAATTCCCATAAGAAGGTGCACTAACTGTTCATTCTTAATGGCCCAATGTTTCTCGAGTTAACCAGACGTGTTTCTTTTCTTAAAGGTGGTCCATTCTCTGGCTTGTTGGGAGATAGTGAATCATTGAGGTTGTCTGATTTGAGTCCTGAAGAAACTAACGGGCTTGTCTCCAGTGACACTGTCTTAAGACAGTCGGATGCCACAACATCTTTAGCTCCAGACACTCAGAAACTTGTTGGTTTGTTACTGGAAGTGCTTAAATCCACCTCGTCTCAGACCCCTGGCACTGGAGCTCATTTAAAGCAGGATATAAGAATGTCTGTCTGCTCAAGCAGTGATGACGTGAGTCGGAATGCTGCTGATTACTGCTGGGACCAGAATAATTTGCTATTGCACAAGGAGACCCAGAAAAACAATGATGATCCAACTTCACAGAATGAGGCATTGACGCAAAAACTCTCCGAGGCAGGGTTTCCATCCAGTCTCAATCCAGAAAGTCCAAGATTGTTTGAAAGTGACTCTTGTCCAACGTATCCAGATAATATTCATTTCAGAACGCAAACTAATGAACAGCCTTCTGGAGAAAATGTTTCACAGCACAATATGAGGGCTGAATATCCAGAGGTGAGCTGGGCTTTGTTGTTCCCAATCTCACTTGGTCATTGTTAAGGAATGTAGAGTATGCATAATTTTATATTTTCTTCTTCAGGAAATTAAAGCACAGTCTTTATAGTTAATTCTGAGTTTTGGTAAAGTCATAAGCCACAAGACCGATGCACAGAAATGTAGCATCAAATACACTGATTTGGGGGGAGATTACTTCAACTTCTGGATAATTACTATTCAATACTTCAGGAATCTCTCAATTTATTAGAGCCCTTTATGTTAGTGCTCAAAGCCATTATCCTACCTAGACATTATCCTGTAAACAAGTTATGTACTTAATTGCTGAATATTTATTCTGTGTTCCATCTTACGCATATTTTCTTTGATCTCTTATCAAGGAGCAGAGTTTGGAAAGTGCAGGCAGCGTTGATGCTTGTAGTCCCTGTACAAATGCATCCCTCGAACAACTGTACAGCAGGAAACCAAGTACACCAGAGAGCGGCAGTGAAAACGAGATTAACTGGAAACTTGTCCCTATCACACGTAAGATTGTCGTGTAGTTTCAGCAGCTACTTTGATTTGTGACAATTTAAGATTTCTTTTCAAGAGATCCACAGTTTATATACAGACATTTGATGTGTGGGTATTGGCATAATAATGTGTAATAAACCTTGAACCCTGAGTAACAGTGGGCTGTTGTGTTGTAAGGATAAATATAATCGACCTTCTTGCGTCTCGTTTGTAGAATATGCGGTAATAGTTGTCTTCGTTTGTAGATATGAAATCACGGAATGAACAACTGTTCTATTTACCACCAGAGGATTCGTGCCCCGTTGATCCACGGGTAATAATACGACAGATCGACATTAATCATTATCATTCGCCGTCCAATTCTCAAGCTGGAGCGGGCAGTGTTTCAAACGAATATGTCCCGGATCTCCAGAATGATGACCCGGACCCCACAGTCTATGAGACCAACGGGCATCTTTCTGCTTCAAAAGACTCTTCAGCTTCAGTGATCGAGAACATGGTGTTGTTGGAATACAATACATTTGCAAATAAAATGCGACAGTTGCTTAAGAAGGAAAAGGTCCGTTACAGTGCTGAGAAAAAACAGCCAACCTTCTCTACACCAAGCAAGGTTCCCTCCCTTTCCAGATTTGCCAGTGTGTGCACACGAGATGTTGCTGTCCAAAATTACGTGAGCCAATTGCGCAAGAAGATGAATTGTGTAGTTGCTGATGCCTGCTCTCATCGATCTTTTAAAAACGTGTGTTTGAATCCAACCTCTCCTAAAGACCTGGCACAAACGGTGCAAAACAGGACTGCAGCAAGCAGTACAATTGTACAAGACCTTGATGCATCCACCAGTTCTCGGTTACATACGTTAAAGCCCACAGCAGAGGAGGCTGTAAACAATACTGGCGGTACATACGATGGACAGACTTGTAGTGAAAAGACACGAGAGCCTGAAAAAGATCCCAAAAGTGACTCTCTAAAGCCTATTCCTTCACAACTGACCTCTGGACTAAGTAGTGTTGGGTTGCAGGAAGTCAGTGGAATGACAGACCTGCCTAAAGCTCGGCCCTGCATCACCAACCTGATCCAGCAGCTAAAGCCTGAAATGTTTTGCAGTTTAGTTAAAATTATTAAGGACGTTCAAAAGAACACAGTGAAGTTTTACGTTTCTGAAGTTGAGGAAACGTCATCAGTTTGTGCAGAAATAAAGGTATTGTATTCCCATCCATGTTTGTGTTGTCTCCGATCAGTTCTCATTTAGCAATGTGATGTTTGGCAACAGTGAAGCTGGTCCAAGCCAGCCCCGAGTCAGTGACAATTCCGTAGAGAATCGTGGGAAGAGAGATCCATGCTAAGTGACAACATCTGTGGCTTGATTTCCTCATCCTTCACCCCAACCCAGAATACCTAGTTAAAAGCCCAAACAACATTTATTGATTCACATTCTTAGGGTAGGTGTTTTTATGTTTCCTCTCCCTAAAGCGCTGGGATGTGCTGGAGTGCAGCCCCTACTATGCTGCCCGGCTGCCCTTCTGAACCTTGTCCAAGTGACCTTGTGTGAGCCCAGACAGTGAGTGTGGTGAAACATTCAGTTGCAAGAGACATCACAGCCCGATTCAAATCCTCACACACATGCTTTCCAACAGGAACGGGCAGATAACATGGACATTTTCTATTTTAAACTCCTTTTAAAATCTAGACGTCTGTTTATCAGGATGTTATTTTCTTATTATGCAAATTTTTACCCTTGGTTCCTTGGAACTCCATCCCAGTCAGATGTGAAGTACTTTGAGACATCCTCCCGAGGTGAAAGGGGGCTGTCTAATGCAATGCAATTTCACTTTTGTTTTAAAAAGGTGGGAATTGTGTAGCTGATTTAAATGAATTTCTTAATTCCATACAATGCAGGAATATTTGACTGGACTGGGAAATAAGGAGTGTCATCCCAATCAGTTTCTGAAAGATGGTTGTATGGATAAATTATTGATCATAATCCAGAACGAAGACATTGCAGCTCACATCCACAAGGTAACAGAACTTGCGTGTATTTTTGTCAAATTGATTTTACTATTTTCAAAACATATGTGAATTGATGTTCTGTTATGTGAGTGCAGAGAGATTTTAATTTAAAAGTGCCTAATTTAAAATGATCGTAAAGGTGTATTGGAGAAAGTAAAAGAGTTAGTTGTCAAGATGGTATTAGAATTGTTCAGTGATGTTTTCATGAGGCAGTCAGTGGTGTATATATAAAATGCAAGTATTATTATAAATACCAAATGCATGTCAAAATCTAGTCTCCATTGCGCCCAAGCCATACATTGACCTTGTGTATGTCCCACACAGCCTGAGGTTAGTGTGTGGCAAAGACAATCTTTGTTACTGACTTTAATGTAGTACTTTCAAACTTTCCTCAAATCTAGAAGTAATTTGGATATTATGTGTTTCAATTAAAAGGCTGTGGGTTATTTTGATTGCAGATCCCATTATTGATGTCATTGAAGAAGCTGTCCTCTGTGAGTTTTGCTGGAGTGGAAAGCTTGGATGATGTACAGAATCACACGTACAATGAATTATTTGTGTCTGGTGGATTTGTGGTGTCTGATGAAACAGTATTAAATCTGAAGTCTGTCACGATTGGTAAGCTGGACTGTGTTCATCTTGTGTCTTTGCTATTAATGCTGATCAGGAGTCATTCCTATTTTGAACGTAGTGACAGGACTGTTGAAAATGTAATGTTTGTTTGGACATGGGCGTGTGATTTGTTTCTCTGAGATAGAAGACCTTATAGCCTGTGATGCTCCATCCTATGCATTGACTGAAAATCTGATTTTACCCACTGGGGTAGAGCAGAGAGACTGGAATATTCGATTGCCTCATCAATTTGCTTTTAAGTTTCAAGGGGTTACAAAGAGTTGTGCACTAATTGAGTGTGTGGAGGATTTAACCGATTTAAAATATTCCCCTCAGAAAAACTACAGATGTTCTTGAAATTTTTGGAAGACTTGAGCAGCCCTGAAAGCAAGTGGCTCTGGAAAATTCACTGCAAAATATACAAGAGGCTAAAGGAGCAGGCCAGGTTTGTGTCTTGTTTTAGTGTTTTTTACCATGACAAATTTACATCAGGTTGTGTAGAATTTGAGAACTTGTTTGTTGATTTCTAGTCGTTACTTGGGTAACGATATAAATACTCTAATCAGCTGATTTCCATTTACACATTGTGTTGCAGGACCAATACAGCAGCCTTGAATATTCTGTCACTTTTGAATAAGTATCAGAAGTGCAATGTGGTGGAAGTTCTCTCTTACCACGACTGTGACTCTAGAGCACGGAACACCATTGAACTGGAATGTTTAGTGAAGCTGCAAGCCCAGAACATACAGCACAGACACGTAGTTTTCCTGACCGGTAGGGAGTCAATCACAGGAAGTCATTTGTAGTATCTTATGGTCGTGTCATTGCTTTTCCCTCTCTAACTTCGGGGCGTGTTTCTCTCTTAGAAAAAAATCTGGAGACTCTTCCCAGCTATTCTCAGTGTGGAGTTGTAGTTGCCTGTGTAGAGGACTTTGTGAACAACTTCAGAAGTCTGATTGGCTACCACAGCTCCAGTGTGGAGAACAAGCAGTTGAGAGTAGAATCTCAAGAGAATTTACAAGGTAAGTGAGGTGTTTGAGACAGGAGATTCCCTGAAATTAGAGCTCTTGTTTTCCCGTGTGTTCCGTTTCAACTAATGCAGTTTGAGTTTATTTGACTTTTACTAACGCAGTTATTGGGAGTAGCTCATTTTCTATTAGAAATGTAAAGACTGTATATTACCTTATTTCTTACCACAACATTATCAACTAATTGAAATCACAATTTCTATTTATACTGTCGCAATAAATCTCATTTCTCTTCTCTTCTTACTTCATAACTGCTTAGAATTCACCAACCACCACTTTAATAGCTTGACATGCAATGCATACCAGGCATTACATTACCCTCTTCCATCCAATGATAGATTACCTTTCTAAGGTTGCCTTTATTTTCTTTAAAGGAATTCATCCTCCTACAAATGCAGTATCATGAAATAAGGGTTTGTGTACCATATAGTATTCCATGGAGGAGCATTTACCTGAAAAATCATTATTGGGCTCAAGAGACTTCAAATGTAATAGAATATTTATTACAAGGAACCAAAACAATAACTTGCATTTACATAGCGCCCCTCACGGAAGTTAGTGTCCCCAGAGCGTTTGTTTGAAGTGTAATTTTTGTTTAAAATGAACCCTTACTATACACGCTATTAAACATTTATTGTGATATTCACTGGTCTGGCGGAAACCGATATGAATACACAATAATATAAGGTTTTTGGATTTATTTAAATTTTTCCTGTGGTTAATTATTCATTGATTTTGTTTAAACAGTGAGGAGTGCTGACCTTGTCAGGGAAACTTCTCTCAGAAAAATTGCTGAGTCTTGCAATGCAAGGGAACTGAATTGATGTACACTTAACAGCAGGTGTGACCGGATCATTGGGAACTCGTCTCCATGGGCTGTTATTCTATGTGTCATCTCCTGCAGAATAACACTGAAACAGACCCTTGTATTATCACTGTCAGGAGCAGCTTTACTACAAGATTGACTGTGCATTGCTGAAAAGTGCAAATAATAACATTTAGCTTCTGTTCATTCAGTTTCTCTATTCTCTTGATTTTATTAAGCTTTACTTCTAATATCTATCGCATTTCTAATTTAAAATTTCCTTCTGTTTTCATGCACTTTCTGGGTCTGCCCACCATTCAGTTTGGGTGATAGAAAATCAGTTGGCCTCTAATTGATTGACAAACCAGTCTTTGTACAGCTGTCAGTCTGTTACATTCCAGGACAAGAAATTCAGACATTTGCTGCTGCAGGGCAAGTATTATGTCGTCTGTGGTGCTGCAGTTCTGTCACACCCAAGACATGGTAAATCGTAATGCAATGCTCAAAGGAGTGACTTGATCACTGACATACTTTTATTAACTGGTGATTCAGATCCCTCACACTTTGCAGCTCAGGAATTTTCTCCGACAAGTTTCCACTGGTGAGATCGCCACTCCACATTAACACATTTTTCCTAAAGAAATATTGCTGGTGAGAATTTCCTCTTCATATGCTCAGAAAAACTTAATTTTCAAACTTTTCTACCAATCTAATTTTTAATTGATAATCTCTAATGGTCAGGTACATTTTCTTCAACTGTTTTGGATTTAGCTGAAGCAGAAAGTGCTGATGCAGAGAATCTGGTAACTAGCGAAGGAAACCACGATGAAGAGGACATGTCATTGGATTCTGAAGATGATTCACCACGTATTGAAATCTGTAGTGAAGAGTCAGAAGATGTTTATGTTGCCGACAGTTCACACATTGAGGTTCATGGAACAGAAAGAAACCCGAGTCAGCCTGAGGAGGAGCTGCCATCAGGTGAGGCTAATGTGGCCCCAAGCTCCGAACTAGATTTCAACAATGTCCAGTTGAATGTTGCTGCTTCCACTTCACAAATTAGAGACAGCAGGAAAGGCACCAAAGCAGAAGAGTGTATGTACAAAAGCAGTTTGTTCTACCCACATTTACAAATAGAATCAGACTACAGGAACTTTAATGTAATGACCCATCAGAGTTTCCTAACCAGTGGAATTAAGCCTTCATATGTTGCTTCTCTAAATCACAACAATCAAGACCCAAGTAAGTTCTGTTTGCCTGGATACAGTCACAACATGGTTTACAATGAGAATGACAAAATGACCAGTAGCTGGGATCATTCCTGGAGTATGGCCAGTGAATCTCCGCTGACCTACCAACAGCAGCAGCAAAAACAGCAATACTAAGTACAAACATATGTTTTTTTCCTGATGAACTTTTGTAAAACTTGTTCGAGCAGGTGCTTACCCTTTGGAGTACACGTTAGTCAAGATGTCTGAAGACCTTTTTCTTTCTAAGCTGATATCTACTGAAACTGATAGGACGGACAGTGTCATTATGGATTAGCAAATGGGTACACCCTGTATGTGTTGATTAGTGACCTGTTTTGTTTGAAATTAAAAATGTTATCTGGTCCTTTTGATGTTTTTCACAATAGTGATTCATTTAATGGTTGAATCTTTGTCCTTAATTTCCTTTGGGTGCCTCTTTAAAGCAAGTTTTTAAAAACCTTTGCTATCTTTAAATGTTTTTGTAATCTCTTGCATATTTTCTTTATTTAAGAAACTAATGTAGAATTGTGTAATCCTCATGGCCCAAACTGCAATAGTTCACTGGCCATTTATATTAAATACAATTTTTGGTGACTGATCACATGTCCCAGGTCAAACTGTACTGCAAGTACTTCTTTTGAAGCATGTTACACTAGTGTGTGTGATCAGAATCTGTTTGATTATATGTGGTGTACAGTTTCAACCATTTCATGTTATCAGCTTATTAGTCTGACAAATGTGGTTAAAAAGATGCATTTTTGCTTAAGATTTCAAAAACGTACTCATGATCTTCAGTTTTTGATAAGATTTTATTTATTTTGTACAGTTTCATGAATTTTTTTAAGTTATGCATGTTTAGTACTGTTTATTTGGCCTTACAGCAATATGCTGTACTTAACTGTATTCATATACCTCAATGTCAAGTGTATTGGCTTTTGTTTTCTCGAGCATTTAAATAAAACACTTGCATACACTTAATGTAAATATTGTAAAATTCTTCCATTGTATTAATAAAATGTTTAAAATCTACTCCCTTCAGTTTTGAAATTAAGTTAAATTTCCTGTTTTATAAAGCTTTATAAATGATCGGTTGTGCGCATTAAACTGACTTGGTAACTAAGCATATTTAGTGCCGTAGATACTGTACTGCTTACATACTCATATGGCACTGTGTGGCTTTTGCTAAACCAATGTTGATTTGGGGCCACAGACAGAAAGTTCTGGGTTTGAATTGTGGTCTAGAATACATTTCGCATAAACCAAACTGGACAAACAACTTGCAAACAAAAATTAAGAGGTGAAACTCACACAATTACTGATTGGCACAATTTATTCAGTTGTGCATAATTGCCAAAATAATGAAAAACAAAGCTTTATTAATCACTCAAAAACACAACACATTTAACACAAGTTTAAAAGTAGAGGTAATGGTCAATCAAATAAGCTGCAATTTGAGTGTTCTGAAATCCCCAATGTTTACTTCAGGTATTCTGCATAGGGCACAGTTCACTGTTACACAGTGGCTCTGAGGGAGGAAACATTTCGAGGACTGGTCTAAAAACAAAATTATTCTATCTGCACCTGGAAGTAGTCAACTAGTAGAAAAGCCTTCTCAATATAGTATGTGCAACATTGAAAGAGGAACAGAAAGTAACTCATTAACTCTTCAAGCTCAACTTAGCAAGTCCAAAATTGAATGAGGAACAGGAAGCCCTAAAGAAATCTGACCTTCCCTTCCCATCAAAGTTGCCTCAGCTGTTCATTTCAAGTAAACGGAGTCTTTTGTCACTTTAGAAGACAATGCCGTTCCTACTTTTGCATAGTGCTGCCCAACAGTACAACCTATTATATAACTGCGGGTGACTTGATATGTAAACTTCGTAGAGGAATTATATATAAAAACAACTAGCAGCCAGTAGATGTGGTTCAGTGCATTCAATAATTTCCAATAGGTTTACAGATTACCCAGTAATGAAAGTGCTTTAACTGTTTGATCCATGAATGTCAGAGGGCATATTGAGCTGTCTCAGAACAGTTTGTTTCTAATTTATCATATATGCTGAGAGGGAATATCTTGATGTAAAACAATGGGAGTTAGACTGGTCTCTAACTCCTTCCGTTTCTGCATTAGACCCTGGGGGAGAGAAGGGAAAGGATTTAATGTGGCACTGGGTTTTGGATGTTAGTTTTGAAACTGAACGTTTCAATACAATGCTTTATACCTTTGTTATAATTGCGCAAGTCTGTCAAAACATAAACAGTGCTTCTCTCGGCAGCTACTTATTGCACAGTTCATCTCATCATAAGCGACCTTATGCTATAACTGGCTGATCAGAATACATTACCTGGCGAAGCTCAGAAAGCCCTTTCAGAATAGCCTGTTGCCTTTCCCGGTTTCTCACCAGATCGGGGTTCAGTAAGGGATCTTTCTCGTGGCCTGCAGTGGAGCTGTGAATCTGCGAGTCGTCAGTCACTGAAAGACGTGGAAATCTGAATACAGTAAAACTCACATAGATTGTATCAATCAGGACCACATTATTTGACCTGCACAAAGTCTGAGTTGCAGGCAAACTGTATAAATCATATAAAATCCAATGTAATCAATAATGTATACCGCAGGTGGGCAATTCAATGCAGTTGGCAAGTGCACATACAGTGATGGTCAAGACTATGTTAATGGGCTTCTTGACTCGTCGCCACCTGCAAATTTACCGGCTGCAGTGAATTGCATATGTGCAGTATAGATTAGTGATTAAATCGGATTTTATATGAATTGGAATCACGTTGAAGTAAGGGAAATTAAGTTCTTCTGCGCGTGCAGCGATGGATCAATACTACATTTCCCGTGATTCAATGCAGACAGTAAGTGCAAGTGTAATGGAGGCAAAGTACCTTTGCAGTGCCTGTACTGAGGGTCATTGGTTGAAGGCCTTGACATTGGAGCGTCAGGATCCAAATGGTACACCTCATCGGTGCGGACGTAAGGAACAAATTTGGATGATGGAGGCCTCTTGATGTCCGGGTCGACATTCACATTGTGAGCTGGATTTGTAGGGTCATTCACTTGCTTCGGCTCCATTTGAAGCAATTTGTTCTTCACGGCCGGAACTGGTGGAGAATCACATCTACAAGCAAGCAAACTCACAGTAAAACTCAGCAAAGGGCAATTCTCCATTTTATTTTTATAGGAGTAAAGGCTTCGTGATGAATGATTTCTGTTATTCCAGGAAAATTACTCTTAAGCATGAATAGTTGAACTGGCTGACCAAAACAATGCAAATTACATTTCACCCACATTTCACATTTTATTGCAGACATTGTATAAAAATTGTACCTAAGTCTATTGAATGTGGAACATTTTAATTGTGTTCCCTTTAAAAATTTTCCCACATTCACTTTCGCAAAATAATGCTTTTATCTGGATTTAATCCCAAATGGTTTAAATCCCACCTGTAATCTTTGCCTGGAGGAACAATGCGGTTTGATTTGCTTCTTGGCTCGTTTTTTTCCTGTCAAAAGATTTACCACCATTTAAGTTAAACAGTTATTTACACATTTGATAATTTGAAAATTATACAATTTGAACAGCTTTAAACAGTTTTCAGGGTTCCAGACATCTACCACGCGTCAAATCAATTGAACATCCTTTTCTGCAAATTTCCCACCTATTGTGAAAGAATTTATTTTAAATTTTTCACACATGTAAAATTCTCTTCTTTGAAGAGGATTTTTTAAAACCCTAAACCACTTTTCTCAGGTGCATCTTCTTAGATCAGATCTCCCTTCTGGCCACAACATTCTATTCAGCTGATCTGGCCACAGAGACAACGAGGACATTGCAGAGTATTCAATTCTCTTCTCCACGATGTGGAGCTCTTACGAGGCCCATAATCTTTCCTAACCCTGGCAAGATTGGCCAACTCAGAGGTAACTGTGTGAAGCCAGAACTCATGCTTGTTTTTCAGTACCATGTCACTCTGTGCTTTCCACCACTAATATTTGTGGCACCACAATCTTCATAGAACTAGCAGAATACTGCCTCTGGTTCTGTGTGTCCGCCACTGTTAAGCGCTCTGAGAAGCTACCCTGCATGGAGAGCACTATATAAGTGCAAGTAGTTGTTGTTGTAGTACGTATGTACAGGGTGACCAAAACATCGTTATACCATGACGATGTATAATAAGTCCTAAAGAATTGATGATACGTATTTTTTAGATAATAGGGTAGATATTTTTTGGTCAGCCTGTAGTATTTACCTTACCATGATGCTGGATGAGTTACAATATAGTTATTACCTTCCTTTGTGAAGGTCGTACAAGCTTCTCCTCAGCCTGAAAGGAAACCTTAGCAGCGACTTTGGCTTGGAGTGCAGGGGTTTCTGGTGAAGATGGTTTCTCTGGCAAGGCCTCGGCTGAGCACTGCTGCTTGTGGGTCCGATGCTCTGGAGCATTTTTTTCTAACAAATGCAACAGCTCTGCCTGTCTTCTCATTTTACTGACTTCTCTCTCTTCCTGTAACTCTACCGGGTAGCGCTTTGATGCTGGAATGTACTTTTTATTTGTTTTGCTTGAGTTCCATTCCGGCCGTGTGCTTAGTTTCTCTTTCCCCTCGACTCTCGCAGTGCATTTGCCTCCGGAAGTTTGTTTTAAAACATTTTCTTTTCCTGCAACAACCACCTTCTCAATTGGCTTCTGCTCCTTTTTCATTCTATTCTCATTAGATGCCATTTTGTACTCTGCAGAAATGTCTGGAGTGTAACAGACTAGATTGTGGTCTAGAACTTGTCGAATGTATATCACTTTCTCAGCTGGATTACAATGCTCTGCAAAACAACAAAAGTATTGACATTATAAATCAAATCAGTTTTCACCACGATCCTGTTTGCCTGATTGGGTGGAGTATCTCCTAGGGTCCTGGACAATAATCCCTCAAATAAAATTGTTCATTCACTTTAAAGCTACTTGTGTGACAGGACTATCCACAAATTGGCTGCCACTTTCATTATAAATTACGCAGTCACGATACAGTATATCATGTGAAGTGCTTTGGGATGTCCTCCTAATGTAAGAAGAGGTTTAAAATCATTGTTAAAATTATTGTTTGATACCCCAAAGTGTATGTAAAATAACTGGGACAATTTTGATTGATCTTAAGGAATGTGAGAGAGAATTTGAATCAAATGGAGTGAGGTCTGTGTTTTGGGGTTCTGTGACATGGTTGATGAAAACTTGATGGATAGGTGTTATTCCATTCCTTATTTGGGAGATGGTGTCTCTTAACAATCTATCTCAAGTAAGCAAAATGTAGATTGTGTTGATAAGAGGGACTTTACAATCAACTGAGACCAAAAGTCAACCTTCAGGAGATCAGAAATGTGTGGCTTCGAGGTAACCTGATTAATGGAACTCTTTGTGTCTTGCAGTCTGCTTGGAGGAGATCTTGAAAGGATTTTACAACATGAAGGTGTCAAGGAAGGACAATTAACTGTCGAACTGAACTCTTCACACTTGGTATCAGAGGCTTTGAGAAGAACTCCCAAATTCCTGAGAATAAACCTTGATAACCTTGGGGCCTCGCATGTGGAAAAATAATTAGATGGATCAATTCAGGAATATGGTTGGACAATCAAACTGTGAACTTTGGATTGGATAGAATGGCCTCTGGCTACAATTTCTTATTTTGTAATCATGTGTTCGAAATTTGGGATATAAAGGAACTAAACAAATGTTAAGAGGTTGGACACAGTGGGACACTGGATGGGATACCGTATGAGTTTGTGAGTTAAACAATTAGCCAAAGGATTATAAATTTCTCTTGGTGTCCCCAGGGAAGATCGAGATCAGCCTGCACTGAATCGTCTTCTGCAGTTGTAAGCGTGAAACTTGTAACTGTTCAATAACTGTCTGCAAACATTTATGACATTGATAGACCTTTTTCATATCAAATCAGGATAGTCATGTAAAATTTAAAGGATTTTGTACATTAGTGTACAACTATAAATAAATGAACCCTTTGATTTATCCATTGCCTCTACTATCGTACCTCAGGGTTGTACCACATAAAAACCCTACACTAACGTGAATGGATTATATAGAATATAAGATTATTATTATAATTAAGATGAATCCATTGGAGTTGGAAATTCAATAGTGTTCTAAAGGTTCAGCCTGCTGCACTTAGGTTAGCATTGCTGGAAGTACAATATACTAGTTACAGTAGGAAAGATGGGAAAAAAGATTGAACTGTTTAAATTCTGACTTGAAACAGCAAATTAAATGAGAAGGAAGAGAAAGAGAGAATAAACCTGAGCAAAGAGAGAAATGTAAAGAGAAACAGAATGACAATATGACAGAAAGTGTGCGTCAGGCTGGGTAAGTGATGTCCCAGGATTCTGCTGGAGATTCAGCCATTAACATGTGCACGACTCCAAATTATAACAAACGTGATGATATTTAAGCACTTCTAAACACATTCAAAATGCTTGTGGAACAGCATTGGTAGGCATGAAAACTAGTGCCAACACTTACAGGTAAGGGGCTGATAGCACTCTCTCTGATTACCAGACGATCATCTGGTCAAGAATGTAATTCATTGTCATTTCAGTTTACGTCAAAATCATGGAATGTTCTGCGTCTTGAAAAAAAAACCTCTGAGAAAGAGTTTGAGGTAAGTATTTATCTATGTCATTTGTATTTCCATTGAATTAATGGTCTCCAGGTAAACCAATTGTAAAAGCTGAGTGAGTTTATCAAGCAAGAGTAATTTTTAAATACTGTACCCAATGATGCAAGATATGTTTACATGACAAAAGCAGGTAGCGTCTCTCAGATTATGGCCTGGCTGAGCAGTGTGCTGGGTATCTAGAGGTGACTAGGTGAATGGAGGTCGGTCTGAGGGATCACCACATGGGTCGAGGCTGCAAGGTAAACAGGCTCCTCGTGTAGAGGTTAGAACAGCCCCAAAGGGTGGAATGGGATCATGTGTGATAATTGTGGCAGGTTAAAGCTTACGGATGCTGGTCTAAGTGATGAGCTGCAGCTGTCAATAGGTGGTAGAATCTAATACCACTCCATTAGGTGTGTAAACGAACACTGGAAGTTCCTCAACCTTGCAGACCTTCTGTGATACATTTATTACATTGACGGACATTTTTCATATCAAATCAGTAGGATAGTTGTGTAAAATGTAAAGGATTTTGTACATTGAAAAGGCCTTCCCAATGTGTAACTGTACACTCTCTGTGTTGTTGTCTCCAAGCTTTAGCCTTGGGAGGGAATAGTTCAAAAACTGCAGCTTAGAATTCATCAAAAAACTACCCACCTTTCTGCACACATTGTTTTGTTGTGTTAGAGTCCTCTATCCCTGACATCTGTCCCAGATCCTCATTAACCTCATCATATGCAAAGCTCAGGGCATTGCAGGGCCCTGGAGACTGACACACGCAACCTAAGACAGGAAGAAATGGTGACAAAAACAATTGAGAGACAAACAAAATATTATAATCTTCTTGAACTCAAATACAAACTTGCACACCTTCTATGTTCTTCTGAAGATTTGAAATGTCATGTCCTTTGCGAGCCAACTCTTTCATACGGTGTTCCTGTTTTTCCCGTTGCGCCATCTCTTGAGCTCGCTGTATAACCTCATACAGCTGGTTAGTTTTACGAGTGGTTTGCTTCTAGAAAATTGAAAATGATGTTTGAATCAGAAAGTTGAAGTTTTAGTCTAGTTACTAATGAAGAAGTGTTATTCTATTATTGAAAACAAATGACAGAATTTGGTCAGTGTGACAGATTCTCAATGAATCCAACAAGTACAAGTTACTGTTGAAGCAGCATGAACACTGCTGTAATCAAAGCTAAACAAACACTTATGGACTCAAGCAACACAATATCTAATCATTTTGACCAGTAGTAAAATTCCTCTCTCCACCCACTGGCACCTACAAGTGAGCAAACAGAGCTTGCATTGACATAAATCCTCACTCATTAGTATTAACTGGGTTTCACCTGCAGTACTATTCCCAACATGCAGCAATGCTAGGTGAGATGCTGGCCTATCTTGCCTTCCTGGGGATGGTAACACATCAGTAAAACCTACTTCTTTCTCTCTTAAGAGCTTCTTTTCTTCTTCATACTGTTGTTGCAACTTGTTTCTCTCCAGTACCAAACGTAACTCCTCTTTCTCGTCTTCTTGACGTTTCTTATCTTCTTGCAGCTGTTTGTGTCTGCGGCGCTCCTCCACTTGCACGGCTATGGCTTTCTAACACAGAAGCACACACAAACATTCATTTGTTTTCCCCCAATACAATAAAGGTAAAAATAACTGCATTTGTCTACCAAAACTATTACAATAATTCTTGCATTTAAAAGAGCGCTTTATCATGTAGTCAAAAAGTCTCAACATGTTTCACAAGATCTAGTGCAAAGTGCAGAGATTGTGACTAGGGTCTATACTTCACTAGAGTTTTGCTCACAGGAATGTGAAGTTGCCTACACTGCTGAACCAGTGAGGCTTGAGATTATAAAGATACCTGGTGCTCTTGCTGTTTCTGTCGTCGTAGTTCTCTTTCATCAAGCTGTGCAGGATCCAATAAAGCCGTCATGGAACGCAGAAAGCTGAAAGGCAACAAGAATACTCCATTTCTAGTACTTTTTATTATCTTGGAAAGCATAAAAAACAAGTGCAAGCAGCATTTAGGAGAGCAATACAATACTGTGTACCCCTAATACTACATTGGTGTGTCAGCCTAGACGGAGCTCAGTGTGATAAAGTGGAGCCTGAACCCACAATGTTCTGACTCGGAGTTGAGAATGCTCTAACTGAGCCACTGCTTTATTGAGAAAAGGGTCACTTTTTTACAACAAATTAATCAAACAGTTTGTGATGGTAACATACTGAGTCCTATTGGATTCCCGGGTCCAGTGCAAGGAAAACCCATTGTGGTACCTGTGTACTGGAACAAGGCAGGGGAAAGCACTTGAGTTACCCTTAAGGGAATTCTTGATGGTAGATTCTCCTGGTCTAAGGGTCACAACCCAGGAAACTGCATGATACACGAAACAGCACAGACCACATATGGTTGTGCATAGTGAGGTTACAATAGCCCAGCATAAAGCTACAGCTGTGAATAGGGGCTGAGGGGAAATGAGTCAATTAGGAAACTGATTAAGGGAAGTAAAGGGAGACAAAGCACGAGAGAAATAATGAAGTTCAAAACAAATCAAGAACAGGGAAAATGAGGAAGTAAAAATCCAAGATGGACAAAAAAGCCAGTGATACTATAAGCGGTTAAAAACTCTACTTATGGGAAGGAACAACAGATTAAACTACCAAATAATAAACAAATATAAACTTGGTAGTGAAAGGAGGCAATCAACTGAGCACACAAGTGTTCTTGAGAGCCAGAGATGTATCAGCTTGATAGTTGAGAGTTTTTCAAGAGTTTTACCGATGCCATCCAGCTTTTAGCATTAAGGAATTGTGAGTATATTTTGACCATTAGTTATACTTCATTTATCAGTACTCTTAAAAAGAGGATTATTTAGAAATTGTCTCCCTCCATCAATCCTAGCTGGAGCTAACCTGGCTTTTTGTACAGTAGCTGTTGGATGAGTTTCAGTGTGAACATCTGTTCCCACAGTGTTGAGGTGATTGGGTGGAGGAACACAATGAACAGAAGGCTGTTGCCATTCAGATAAAGCATTTTGCTGATAACTTCCCAATGGCTTTTCCACTGTTCCTCCGATCGCATTGACAGTAACTGGAAAATGGAGGTCAGATTTCTTTTGAAAAGAATCAAAATGCATCGCCCATCTGCTGTGATCTTCAGTCTATTGAAGCAGAAAAAAGGTAAAGTGAGAAAAGTGTTGCAGTTTCTAATGATGAAGTCTTAGCCAGCTTGGCAAGTCTTATGTACAATATGCAGCCGGAGGAACAAACCACTCTCACCAAAGTAACACATGAAGTCAACCTTTAGGAAAAAACACCACAAAATATACATTTTGGAATCCTGTAGCTCAGTGGTTAGAGCACTCGCTTCGCAAGCGAGAGACCTGAGTTCAAATCCAGGCAGAGGGCGAAATCTTGGGCAAGTTTCCTTACTCCACACAGAGCCTAATAATAATGCCTCCAAAACCAAAAACAATAATAAATTGGTCATTTTCAATCTACGACTGTTTGTGGGACATTGCTGTGCGCAATTGGCTGCCGCGTTCGCCCACAAATATACAGTCAATTCACTTTACAGTGTGTTCTGTGAAGCGCTTTGGGACGTCCTCCCGACGTGAAAAACGCTATATCAAATGCAAGGATTATTATTATTATTTATATTTTTGTAAATTAATATTAGTCTTTTAAAATGAAAATATTCACGGATTTTGATAGTTACAAAATCATTCAAAACTAGAGGAATAAATTAGAAAAAAATATCTGGCACACATTTACTTTTTTCTATTGTACAAGAAAAAACAAACTGATATAATTTAATATATTAGTGACTTGTAGCAACAAAAAAGAAAATACATCTTATTAAATCCTAACGGAACAACATTCTGGTACATTCTTACTAGGTTGTCATTGGAGATATACCTCAGCATATTTTAACTTTTCTTGGATTTTCCTAGCTTTTAATTCTTCCCTTTGTTTATCCAGTTCTTGAAGCCATTTTTGCTGTTGTTCCCTTTTTACTGCATTGAAAAGATCCTCGGTTGGTACGGCTTCCTGAGAGATGCAAGAGTAAACATTTCTATAATAACTTGCTTCAATAGACCAGAGTAAATCAGACATGATTGCACTGTCTGCACCAGCACCTTGGGATGTCCTCCTGACGTGAAAGTCACTATCCAAATGTAATTTGTTGTTGTTCTGCTATAAGCTAGTTTTGCAGCTGAGAATTTCACCACATCATCCAAGAGGTAGTACTATTGTATTTCAGTGCCTCAGGACATCCTCCTGATGTGAAAGGTGCTATACAATGTCATTTTGTATTGTATTTACTGGTCTTGTGGAACACATAGTGAAATGTGCTAATGGCTCTTACCCCAAGGACAAAGACTGAGCGGATGGCAGCAGGTACATCTGGAGAACTAAAATGAGAGGATTGTCCACTGTGTGCTTCTGAAGGCATTGGTGCATTCAGCACGTGCTCCCCAATGTTAATCACTCGACCATTAGAAGATGGGCCTGATGAGGATGGCACTGCTGAAGTAACCTGTAACCATAAGGAAAAGCAAGAAAGAGCTCACTTTTTAAAGTGTCTGATATATCAAAATGTTCAAACTGGTTCCCAAAATTCAATGATTGTAATCCCACAGATTAAACAAAATGGTGCAAATCATCTGTTTTATTTGCCTACATATACAGTCACTACACTTCACAGAAAAACTTGTGTGAAGTGCTTTGAGATGTTTTGATGTGATAAGGCACTATAACAAATGCAATCCCAATTCACAGGCCAATTTAAGAATTATTCTCCAGATACCAGCACTAAATTGGCCTACCTTAGCTTCACCATCTCTGAGCACTTTCCCTGTGTTCACTGACATGGGTGTTCCTACACCAGGGCTTCCCCATGGATTCCACTCCACCAAAGCTTCAGGTGCAAGACTTTTTTGGAATTGTTTCTTGTATGCCACCTGTTCATCTGCAGATTTAAACAACAACAAGATTACATTTATATAGTGCCTTTCACAGTCATCAAATTATTTCATTTATCCTAAAAATTGTAAATATCAGACCCAAATTTTCAAATAATTTCCTTAGAGGAGATTGTGTATCAATATTGGGAGATGGAAAATGTTTCACCTTTTTCACACCAAGTGAAGTAAAACACTGATTAGATACCATATAAAGCTCCCACTGAAGTCAGAAAATGCCATTAAACATCAATCAGAAAATAGTTGATCCTTGGGTTCTGCTATGATCTCATTCCACTCCCATCCCCCAATGCTTGAATAGCTTGTTGTATCAATGGTTTACCTAGAAGAACTTTAGGCTGAAATTCTCAGTGATTTTCAATTATTTACTGTCAAATGTAGCGATTGATTAATATTTTAATTTTGCTTCCAAAAACAATCACATATCCCGTTTAGGAAAGTTTAATATATATGGTAAATTCTCTATTAGTGATTTCTTTTTCCATAGATAAACTTCCAAAAAAGGTTTCTTTTTTTAAAAAAGCACATACCCAGCTCTTTCTTCCACTGGATTTTCTTGGCTTCCAGGAGTTCCTTCCCATTTTCTCTTTCTCCAAGGCAAGTGAACAAACCATATTCACCTTGCTTGCAGGTGCTGCTCAATTACAAAAATAATCAGATTTTGTTGTCACACTTACGTTTTTTCAAACAACTTTTAAAGTATAAATTTTAATTAAACCAATTATTACTGTATAGCTCAAAGCAGTTCTATCAGAATGATACGTCCTCCCAACTTGAAAGGCGCTCTATAAATGTAATTTTGTTGTTGATGATCAAGTCCAAACCCAACAGATCATTTTTTAGTTATATGAACTCTTCAAATAGACAATGCTCTGGAATAATCAACAATAGCAGGGAAATAATTATATTGTTTCCTATTAGACAGCGATAAGAGAACCGTGACATGCCATAGGATGTTTATTTAATACCTACCTGAACAAGCAGATGGAACAATGCAACAGTCAGCCCAGACTATGAGTTCCAAGTCCCCATGTGGAGCTCGAACCCACAACCTTCTGACTCAGCTGAGAGTGCTGCAAACTGAGCCCAGGCTATGTTCAACACCTACCTTTTGTCAGGGTTGGTGTTTTTGCCACCTACTCCACATTCATTAGCTCCCTCTGGTTGTTGCGATGAGCTGTTCAACTGAGCGGCCTTGCAGTCTGGCCCAGTTACTGCCTCTGTAACCACGACTCCCTCAACTCCCTTTTCTTCAACTTCTTTTTCTAATCAGAAATAAGACATTTGTAGCTCCTTACAGAAACCTAATCTTTCTACAGACTTTTGGGGGAAGGGGAGTTTTCAAAAAAATACTGGAAGTAGAATTTTAATGAATCATGTTGTTAGCAAAGAACAAATGTCAGCCAAGAGAACATTAATGCTAGTCAGCAATCTCTGTTAAAGGGTCACATACATGTTTGGGGGGGGGGGGGGGCTAACAGGTACAGGACATGGAGTAGCTCAGAGGCTCAGGCTGTCACAAATCCTGTTGATTCGCATCATTAAATCTAACTCATAAATAATGATTCCAGCTCTAGATCAGCCCTCGGGTGAAGAGTGCACTTCAGCAAGGGGATATGTTCATATTAGGCAAGATGTCCCCACAGCTAAACTGAATCACCTCCTGACATAATACTATCCACACTCACACAAGATAAATAGCAAACAGTAGGATTCCAGAGGGCTGTCAAGGCCATGGAGCTGGAGCAACCAGTGCACAGCAAAGTGAAGAAATATAGAACAATAGGAAAATTATTCTTTTCCTTTCAAATACAATGGACACGCGTCAAACTACCAAACGCTAGCAGAGCAGCATATTCCTCTGGTCACCAACAGTATCTGGGGTTGTACCTTTAACTTCTTCCTGATTTTGATTGGAATTTCCTTTCACGTGAGTTATAGAAGACAAAATCTGCTGGAGCTGCTCCTGGGTCAGACATAGCAAATTTTTTCTCACGTCTTCTGACAAAATCTTTTGATTTCTTGGTGGCTGTTTGGATGTGGGAACTTTCTTAACTGTAGTTTTAGGCTTTTGCAAATTATTTCCAGACTGACCAGTGTTAAGCACTGCTTCTCCATGGTTTGTAGAATTAGCTGGTGTATTTTTGGCTGTGATCAGTTCTTTATTTGCACTGTTCTCAGGCACAGCAGCAGTAAGATTTATAGCAGGTTTTAATGCCGTCTTTTCTGTCCTAGAATAGCTTTCATTGGTTGGAGCAAGTTCCTGGATTGCTTGTTTGGTTCTGAGCAGTTGAGTCCGAGTTCTGCGCTTGTTCTTTACCTGTCAATTATTTAAAAATATATATTGTGGCTTAGAATATTGCATTTATATTTAAGCTTCCTTAAAAGTATTCAATTATTTCTATAAGGTTATGATATACACCTATGAGTTTAACACTAAAAACCATCCTGATCTTCATCACTGGATAAAGTCCACTTTCACATGTTACAAATGCTACCAAGACTACTAACTTTGAAGAGATCAATCTGTGAGATCTACTAGAAGTGTTGGCAAGATTGTTTCAGTACTACTACAATCACACAAGCCATAAACCACTGCTGGGATATGTACGAAATCTGAAATCCTAGTATTGGTAACATGCTAATTATTTGCACAAATGAAAAATCATTTTGAACTATTTACCTTTTTTGTGTCTTTTTCCAAATCATCTGTACAAATAAAATTAGAATAAACATGAATAGTGCAGAACAGGTAAATATCGGTTTCACTTTAATTAGTTTAACATTTTTAGCTTTTCAAATGAAAAGCATTATTTAAAATAAACTCTACCTTCAATAGCTTAGGTGTCAGCATAAATTAGATTTACTACTTCTGATGAATTGGTAAATGAAAAACATTGAAGCCGATTTCTATTTCTTCAGANTTTTTTTTACATTTGCACACATGAAATTGACACTTACCACAAGGTGCTAAAAGTATTCGAGCCTTTCCATTTAAAACCTGTGTTTCAAGCTTTAAACCATCCCTACAAAAAAGGAAAGAACTGCTCATGTAACATCAATTGAAGCACTATTCCTTCCCACACCCAACCCAGTGGGTAGAGTCAGCAATAAACCACACAAACTAGGTTTTAAATCCCAGTCTCTCCAGATTCAGCTAATCTTCCAAAGTGCAGTAATAAGGCCCCAAATGCACTTTTATCCTCTGAATTCAAGAGAACGAATGATCTTAATTACATGTCTGCAGGTAATTTGTCATCCAGAAACACAAGAGCCTAAATCAGTGATTTATACGCCATCGATGGACAATCTCAGAATACTCACTGCTCCTTTGGATCAGTGGTATACTAATTCAACTTAATTTGATTAAATATTTTGCTCACTAATCAATGGATTGATATCTACAGAAAGATGAATTGCCGAACATTCTGCCACAGAAAAAGTAATGTTGGAAGTACGTATCGTTTCTACCTTTTTTGACCACTCTTAATCACCTCCTCCCTTCCCCCTTTTGGCATCCAACCCCATCCTTTGTAGGGCTCTGAGATATTATCCTATGTGAAGGAAGCTATAAAAGTGCAAGCTGTTGGAGAAATATCTTCTTTGGTGTCTTCATACACTTTCTATGCATAAAAAACATCCTCACATTTGATATAATCCCTTTCACTTTGGGAGCAAGTCTCAAAAGTGCTTTACAGAATTTACATGCCAGGGTGAAGAGGGCAGTGAACCCGGTGAATGACCAACTTTATTTGTTAATGGGGATCCCATTAATGGGAGCAAATTCTCTTCTCTCCTTGTGTTGTTTTATGGGTATGCTTATTGTTAGGGCTAAATGCTTTTTAAGAGTGTCGAGATGACCTGGAAAATTACAATCTTGATTAAAATTTGTTGCGCTGATTGGGTGATGGTTGCTTATGCTCATCAGTCACTAACAAAATGACTTGTAGACTTCAAAGCCCAATTAAATTGAGCTGAGTAGTAGAATTTATATTGAAGTGTGACGTGGTAATGGGTATAAATTGAAATAAAATGTCAATATGTTGTGTCTTGAAGAGTTACATTGGTTCAGAAAAAGTGAATTTATCACAGCTGCAGCTTGTCTTGCTAATTGTTGATGTAAGTGTCCTGCATTGTTTTTAATCAGATCAGCCAAAGGGCAGTCCCAGCTCGATTAAACAACTATCAGATGGGTGAGGACATGTAGACCTGCACAGATCATCCTGATGGTAAAAAGAATGGAACCACGTTAAAAGCATAAAGTACACTGTGATCAGTCCGAGTATTCAGTCCAAGTTGGTAAGAGCGAGTATGTCTTTTCCTCCTCCCCGTTCTGTTCCAAGGTTGCAGCAACATTGGAAGAAAACGGAACAGACTACAACGATACAATATACTGCAAGAACATAGCTGCAAGAGATTTAACGCCTTCTATTATCAGCATTCCCAAACAAGAAGTTTGCCTCCTGCTTATAAACTTTATATCGTCAGTACCATGTTATATACGAGCCTAACAGCACAATAGTCTATCATTGCCCTGCTTATTGTATCAATGCAAAGTTATACATATTTCTGCTTTATAAAGTTAATGAACTGTTGAGCATAAAATATAAGTAGCTTTGGTTCCTCTGTTCACAGGTTCTTGATTTTAAATTTCAGCTAAACAGAATAAGCTGGTCTTCTCTAGTCACGCCTTTTGTCGCAGGCTACAGCAGTTGTTAGTTCCACCGCTGGCCACACATTTAAATCCAATATTGCTCTCCCCCCAATTACAGATTATTAAATGAGATGAAAGCTAATTTCAAGATGTACTACAGCTTCAAATAAGCTATTTTCAAAACAGTGATAAATTACTTTCCTGCTACTTATTGGACAGGCTTTACTGGTTGCTAAACACACCAGGCTTCTTTTCCATGGCAATGTCAAACTACAGCTGAGTATAACCAGATTTATAGCGACCCATTGTTTACTATGGCTTCCTTTTCCATAAGGTAATTTGTTACGCTGTGCATACAGATTAAAAAGTGATCCAACATCTTAAGAAGTGGGGAAGAGGGAAGCGAGAGGAAAAGTGGCTGAAAGCAGTTGATCAGATAAAGCAGGTTATGAAGGACAATCAATCCAGAGGAACTCCAGGATAGAGTTCCAGAGTGTGGGGCAAAGTGGATGAAAGCTCACCCAACGTTGGTGAGGTGGACAAGCAGAGGACATGATATATACCAACATATGCTGAGCAGAGGGAGACTCAGGCAATAATGCGTACTCAATAATAACTGAATGGGTTTACACTGTATATGCAATACTTATTTTTATATAGCAAGTCATGTAAAAATATCCAGGTCTAATCAAGTACTGTGATCATGCAGGGAAATTAAGAGCTGCAAATACAGATATCAATCAAAGAGATGGGGAGATCAGCAAATTATTTGCTGAGCAACATGTCCTTTGGGTGGCTTAGAATTAGAGAAAGTCATACCTGGTAGGTCTGGCATTAATTTTAATGCAGACTGAAGACGTATACATTTAAAACAGTCTAAATTACTAAGAGTACTGTTCTTTAAAGTTGCATAAGATTTGAATTATTTCACAGCAAGGCGAGAAAGATTAGTGAATTAGTCATTTTACACACACAAAAATAACTGTAGTCTTAAATTTCTTTTAATTTTCAAGTAAAGAGTTGACAGGGTTGCCCCAATTCCCCCAAAATATGAGCAGAATCATATTGTACCCTGAGCAAGCAGGCAGCACGGTCCACTGATTTCTCGCCTGACTTGATTTGAGTTTATGAGATGCAGAGCAGCTTTGAGAACAGGGAAATAAAAATGTCCCAAAAAAACTCTCTCCATCTCATAATAATAATCTGAGTAAAAGAATCAGAGAGACTGCAACCGAGTGGACCCAATCCATCTCTTCGTTTCATTACAAGGCTCTAATAACCTGGTCAGACGATCAATTGGTTTGGAAGACTTTAACACAATAACTTTAACCTCTGTTTATCGAGCAGTATATAGGAACCCGCTTGTTAATCGATTGGCAGATCGCTTTTCCGGGGGTAATCCCTTCAAAATAAAATGGATGTCTGGATACATAATAATTTGACCACTCAATCCGTGACTGTTTGTTGGGACACTGCTGTGTGCAATCCGCTGCTGCGTTTCACCCACATTGTACACAGTCACTACACTTGACAGTATATCCTGTGAAGCAGATAGAGGGAGATAGAGATGGAGGCATAGAGGGATAGTAGATAGATGGAGAGAGAGATAGAGAGAGAGAGAGAGATAGATACATACATAGAGAGATAGATAGAGGGAGAGAGATAGAGGGAGAGGGAGATAGATAGATAGAGAGAGAGATAGTGAGGGAGAGATGGAGGGTGCGATAGATACATAGAGGGAGAGAGAGAGAGATATCGTGAGAGAATTAAGTAGAATGTCCCGTTCAGTTAAACCCCGCTCCGCCCCCCCGGCGGCGTGAAGTAGCCGCAGCCGCCGGTAAACGGCGCCATTGCACAACAACAAACAAACAAAACAACAACGAGCAGCGGCCACGGCCACAGGTACATACAGCGCCCCGGAGCGCTTGGTACAGTACTACAGTAAAGTCCAGAGACGGGGAAAATAGATAGTTACCCCAGGTTCATGGCACAGACGTCATGGGGGGGGGGGGGGACGACAGCCGAGCGGTGAAGCCCGGGGCGGGCGGGGGCCTGAGGTAACGACACCAACAGCAGAAGCCGCCAACGGACCCGACTCAGCCCTGTGCGCGTCGCGGTTGCTGGCTTTACAATAAGAGCGGCTGTGATTGGCCCAAACGTCTCCGGCCGGAGGCGTTTAGACCAATCACAGCCGCTCTTATTGTAAAGTCGGCCACTCAGCGCGCGCGCGGAACCGCCTCCTCCTCCCCCCCCCCTTTTTGTTTGCGCGCGCGGCCCGCAGCGACTCAGCACCAATCAGGTGGCCCGCATTACCCGGCACGTGACGCCCGGGCCGCGCGTGGAGCCACTCCCCCTTCATTCCCTCTCCCCCCCGCCGCACGCGCTCCCTCTTCGCGCGCTTTTTTCAACCGTCACTGCAGTCCTCCGGCTCAGAGGCGCGTCCGTCGGGGAGTCAGAGAAGTCGTGAGGGAGCGGCAGATTAGCGACGGATAGACTGGACGGGCGGATATGGACGGGACCGATTTTGAAGGCAGGAATCTGACAACAAACCCCGTACGATTATTGTTTTACATCGTGCGAGTTAAACCCTTGTCACCGCCCCCCCCCCCCCCCCCCCAATCCTCGCCTCGTCTCCACCGACGTCCCATCAAAGCCCCTCCATTACCTCAGCCGAGCTCCTCCAACCCCCCGCAAACTCTCTCTCTCTCTCTCGCTCGCCCCGCTGTCGGCGGGCGGGCCTTTCCGCCACTCCGGATCTCCACCCCGCACTCCCTCCGCCCTCCTCGCCCCCTCCCTCGCCGCCTGTGCTTTCGATCTCCCCGCTGCCGCCCCACACCCCCACCGCTCCGACCGCCCAGCGCCTCGGGTCGGCCTCCCCCATGCGCTTTGCAACCTCGCCCGTCACGGCAGCCATCGAGAGTTCGTGACGTGCTCGAGGCCCGGCCGGCGAGCCGTCACCCCGCGCCACCGCACCGCGATCCCCGCGCCCCGGACAGCAAAGCCGCCGTTTTGGACGGACCGTTTGCGTGTGGAGAACGCGTGCGGTTGGGGCCCGCGGCGCCTGCGGTCCCGACCGTCGCGACCTAACCGCTCCGTGCAGTTCGTTAAGAGGGCGGAGGGCGAGGGAAGGTTCTGCCCGCGGTGGCGGGAGGAGCGCAGACCCGGTGGGGGCCCCCGACGGTCTGTCTCTGCGCCGCGGTACGTTCTGACCGATTCTCTCTCGTGTGCGTTCCAAATAAACCGGTGTCGATTTTCACCGGAGAGCGCCGAGACGGAGCGAGTGTTGAGCCGACGAGAGAAGTAATAATGCGGCCAATGAAAAAGGGGGAGGGTTTCCAGCCCCGACAACGGCGAGAACATCAGCCGTCTGCGTTTTAGCAGCAGCGCCTGATTGGGGATTATTGATTTTTGGGGTTTGCTTCGGTTGAGAGCTATTGACTACTCATATGAATCACATTCGTGGGGTTACGGACTGCTCTGTGCAGCAGCAACAGGACCGCCACTCTCGGCACTGAGCAGCGATTAACCCTTTAGCGACGTAGTTCTTCTCTTCGCGTGTGGCGGTGAAACGGACATCTGCCATCCAGTCATTTGAAAATAACGGCCTTTCCCTCCGTTCCCTGAACACATCGCCTGTCAGGAGGCAGCCGTCGTGCAAAAGCTAATAACGATGATACAGCTGCACACCCTCTGGCAGTCTGTAGCATGAAGTATTAAGTGTTTAACGCCACCAATGCCAAGAGTTCAAATCCGAGGAAAAAAGCTGCACATATTCAAACTGCGGGACAACATCAGATAACGGTGTAGACGAACACCTTTCGTGAGTTCACTGTTGGCTCTTTGATGAAGGTATTGCCCCTCAAAGGAAAACCTGACAACTCGGGTCTTACTTCAGGACAGTTCACTTCCTGTGGACATTCCATATAGCTATAATGTTGAGGAGATAGTACAATTGAAAATGTCATTTGTTGTTGTCTGTGCTTTGCCAATCAAAGCAGGTGGACACATCTAGAGTGATTAGCTGGTGTAAAGGAAAACTACAAATACCAACGTTCATTTTAATATAGTGTATAATTCCTGATATAAAATCTGATCTCATAAAGAGCCTCAAACATATACATCGCAGGCAGCCATTACATATCCTACTGTCATTAACATTCAAACCTGACTCCTTTTTCTAGTAATGTATCTGGTACATAACTGACCCGTGTGTCTGTAACCCACTATAGCAAGTGTTGGATGTAAAATCCACTGAGAAAGGCCTATTCTTTCATGCACATACATTAGAATAGACAGTACAGAAACAGGCCGTTGGGCCCAACTGGTTTATGCTCCACCTGAGCCTCCTCCTGCCCTTCCTCAACTAAGCCTTCAAACATAACCTTCTATTCCTTTCTCCCTCATGCAACTATCTAGCTTTCCCTTAAATACATACTATTCTCCAGATCAGGAAGAATACTGATCCTTGAAATAATTGGGTGAAAGTTGTTTCCTTCAAATAACTCACGTTGGATATTATTTTACCGCCAATGTAAAGTAGCTTAGCTTTAAAGGGGAAGAAATGCATCATACTGGAAATCTATGAAATCCATTTGTCAATTTAATATTTAATCTGAATTCAAACTCATAATAATCTTGCAAACTGAAAGGAAGATAAATTACCCCTAAAAGTCTGTGAAGTAAGGCCATCTCAGGCAATAATTGTTTACCTTGCTATAATGTCTATTTTCAATGTGGGGATTTAAGTGCTTAACCTAAAAAACATTAAGCAGGAATACTTATTGTATAATGGTAATTGTCACATACATAAAATACTTATTAACCACCCTTCAACTTGTATTTCCAGAGATCAACATTTATTTCATACCTATTACAGCTGAACGTATTAGTTGATGAGGGAACAGCATGATTACTTTAGCATCAGCTGTGGTCCGTCAGTTGGGAAGAAAGAAGGCCTAGAAGGTTGTACATCATATCTGATAATAAAGTCAGCTGAAGATGATTCCAGTTTATTATTTTTTACATCCATTTTTATCAACATCGTGTCAACTTTTGATAAGAAAATAAAGGTCTCTCCTAATCAGCATAATTGACATTTTCATATGTTAATCAGTGTTTTAAAATAAGGGTTTATTCCTTTAGAATTTGCAAATTCTTTATTATTTCCATGCTTGACATACAATTAATTTGCATAGTCTCAATGAAGCAGTTAAGAAGTTTACTTCATGGTTCTAGCCCCAGCGATGCCTAGTGCCTGGCAATTGGATTTCTCAGCCACGTGTGCAATGTCATTTGTTGGTGTACAATCAAGCTGTTGGATCTCATGGAAAATCTGCTGCTCAGTAAAAGATAGCTGAACTATAGGACAGAATGATGTATGGATATCTATCAGCAACAATGGAAAAATAATAAGGTAAACAGGAAAGGGAATATGGTGATCACACAAGGGTGCATTGCTCGTAAGTACATTTTAATGTTTTCTGCCAGTTGGTTGATAATTGATACTGGACCAAAAATGAAGATCTATATTGTGCTTGAGCTGTAACATGAGTTCCTTGTGAGTTTAAGATGACTGACCAGTGACAACTATGCAAAGAAAAAATATCAACAAGAAGTTAATGCTTGGAAGCAATAAGGTTTTGATTTCATCAAATGCTGCCTTCTAGTTATAAGTACTGATGAGTACATTAGTTAAGCAAATGCAAGGATGATTATGATGGTTAATGTATGACATTATCTGTGAAATTTAGATTCAGGCTCAGTTGTGTCACCACAGTAGCTGCACAGCATGAAAATCCTCACAGAGTGCATAATTTATATGTTGAAGGTTGTCAATATCAGTAATTATTTAAGGTGAATTTAGTTCAGGTGATTTATATAGAAACAATTCATGATTTATGGACAAGTCAGTTATGACATATAGCGGTATTCTATTATATTAACAAGATTCATTTGCTCCTCTATTCTTTTGGTTAAATGTGTGTTTCTTTAACTCGTGAGTTGTAATCTTTCCGGAGTATCTCAGGCATGCTAATAAACTAGCTGTGTGCAATAGATTTGGATATTATCTCACAAAACAGTGTTAGAAGATGGAAATAAATACTCTGAAGTATATCAGTTTATTCTTGCCGATTTTAAGTTGATTCAGGAGTCAACTCTTTGCTTAACATCAAAGAAAATGAATGTTATATACAAAATAGAATAGGTTTAGTTGGAATTTCTGGCTAATTGTATACATATGTTGTACAAATACTGTACAAATTTAATTATAGAGTCTCCAGCAATCTGGTAGATAGATTGAGAATTCAATATAGTTAATGAGAATTTGGGTGGGCACTGAACCAAACTGAGCCATATTGGATGTTGACAATCGTACACAACTCTATATGTTCTTGAAGCAGATACACTGGAAATGTTCCAATGGTTTGAACTTTTTTTTATGTTGCTTGTACAGAAAATATTCGTTCCACTTTGTTTCTCAGTCCTTTGTTTATCTCAATTCACATTCATTACACTCATCTGTGTTTACGTGCTTTCAAATGTTATGAAAATGCTCTACTCCACACATATTATGCCCATCAACAAAAGTCAACTCAAGAACTATAAACTGCTAAACCATTCACCAATCATATCAAAGGTCATGATAATGTTTGTGAATGAGAAGCTATCTCAAGCACAGCAATCTGTTATTTGATTACACGTTTAGCTTCAGAGAAAATTGGTTCACTTGTGATGCAATCGATTGTCCAGAAATTGAGTGTTTCCCTGTAAATTTAGTATGAATTTCGAGCAGTAGTCGTCAACATTTGTAGAGCCTTTGATAGATACAACATTCTCACTGAGAAGGTAGCATATTTGATCAACTAAATCTTTGATGGTGTCAATTCTACATATTCATTATTTTATGGGATAGAAATTTTTATAATCTCTGCTTTGGGTGAAGTTTGTTCAATTTCAATCCAAGTTCACTAGATCTGTACACACAGGCTGGTTC